AAGTCTTAAAGTGTGTTTTCTTATTCTGTACTTTACAAGTAAAAGATCAAAATATATTTTTTCCCCATTTAAATTTATGAGAAAGAAGCTAAAGAATTCAGTGCAAAAAGAGAAAAGAAAAAAGCTCTGCATGATGTCTTTATCTCCAAGCATTACATGGCTTCCTAAGCTGGGAGATGGTGAAATAGCTTCCTTTGGTCGTACTGCATTAATTTCTGGTATTTAAAATTGCTGTTAGCAAAAACCAGTTATACATATTGGCTACTAAGAGCAGCAGAAGCCAAAATTCTACAAGCCACGTCCCCTTTCTGAATATAGTAGAGATTTAGACAAAACTTAAGGAAAAACGTTTAATGTCAGAAGCTTGAACCTTGTATAAGGCAGTTAGCTATAAGAGACACAAACTGCTAACAAGAGAATTTATAAGGAAGCTTTCAAGCTCTCAATGTCATGTGCTTCTTTGCTTCTAATTAAGATACTGGCATTAAAATTCTACTATTTACTCAAAATTTTTTCACTTCTTTATATGCTCAATAAAGAAAAACCTTAAGGCAAGTAAGTTAAAGACAATATTTCTGCAGAAGTCAAATTCAGTGCCTTTAAAATAGCAGCGTTGCTGACTGTCCCTACTGCAAGAAAGCCCCTAAGAATTTAAGGTTATTGTAAACTTGTTCAAAAGGTGCAAGGGCCTCACTATTCACAACAGCGTCCAGGTATACAAATACCAAGCCTTGCAATTATTCATACCAGGGACAGTCAAAAGTGACTCAGCAGGATGCCAGGAACAAGTGGTCTGAAGGTAACACCCTGGATGCTGTGGGTCAGGACAGGATATGGCTGGCTGCCAAAGCAGCAGGCTCCAGTGCTCAGCCCCCTCAGCCACACCTTCACAAGAGTGCAGTAAAACTGCATTTCTTTTAACAGAGCCTTACTGGGAATCTGAGCTCTGGCAATCAAGACTGCATTAAGCTGCTGCTTACAGTGTGCCAGAAACCTCTCACCAAGTGTCTTTCAGAAATTCAGAAAGAACCTTTAAATACATTACACTTTACAAACACTTTGATTCATTCTGGTCCCTTAAACGGCTGTCCCCAAACTTGCTTTCCTCTAAACTACTTCCAACCTACCCCAGCCATGACAGACAAAATGGCTCAGCAGGCACAGGCAGCTGCATTCTTACAGAACCCAGTCACTACCACTGGTTTCCCTGGTCTGACTGATTGCAAGCATACAGATTTTTTAAAAGTTCTTAGTGAGTGGTGTGTACTTTACTGACCACATCTCCAAGTTACTTTTCTTGTTTAATACGGCAGGTGTAAATTTACCTCATTTAGCCAAGTATCAGTAACCCCATCTCTTTAAAAAAGTTATGTGCCCCTACTTGAGCTTCAAAAAACTGAACTCCAAGACCTCATTTTGTTATCATGTCACTGAAATAATGTCACCTTTAGTAATGTCACCAATAGCAAGATGTACAACTTTGTGATACCCAAAGTGCTGCAATGAGACCTGCAATACTGGAATGTAACTAAAGAACATGCTTCATCCCTCAAAATAAAGAGGCATTTGGAATTTGCCTATTTTTTATTTTGAGACTCAAAGAGATTCAGATACTTGAAGCAAGAAGTACAAGTCCCACAATAGATTATTTTGAGTTAAACAGTTTCCTTAGACATTCTACGGAAATAAGAACTAAGCCAAATGCTCCTGTAAATTAAGCAAGTGAAAAGAAGCACTAGTTGCAATAGTCTATCTTGAAGAGTTACTCTCATCATCACTGTTATCAGGGGGAGCACCACAATGAGAATTAGCAAAGCAAGACCATGCTCAATAACCATTCTGAAACAGTTAACATGGACATGTCCATTTTCCAGTCAGACAGGGATTTGGGGGAGCCTTCTACAGGAAAAATGCAAAGGGCAGAGTACAAATAAAGAAGGGCACAACAGCAATGTGCAATCCACTCTTCTAAATTAATTACAACTCTATACTTTAATTAAAATCACTTGAAATCCCATTAGGGGTCATTATTTAGCAAAACCTCAAAGAAACGAAACAGAGTCTATGCTCATAAAAAAAGCCTCACCACAAACTTTAAAAATATCTCAAAAACTTAAAAAAAAAAAAAAAAAAGGTCAAACTAGACTCCCACATTTGTTTATTTACTATTTCACTGCTGATACGCTGCAAGACCTCCCTGGGCAAAACCTGCTGTTCTGAAGCTGAAGTTGTCTTTAAGTAACCTCATGCATTCACAAACAATGCATCTGCAACAGAACGAGCACCTTTTTCTTCACAAAGGGTAGAAATTTTTACTAGTCACTGTGTGAAAGGAGAAAGTTCAAATAAAGCAAATTTTGAATGTGCAACAGAATTTCACAAGATTAAAAAAAAAAAGTTTTCCAACTCTTACTATTGTTGCAATAGTCAAAATAACCTCAAATTTCATGTTTATCAGAGATTGAGGAAAAGGCTCTCCCTGAAACTGGCAAACTGAAAGACCTGCAGCTCTGATTTCTCACTCTTCTATTTTCTGTTACTAACTCAGATCTGATTTCTATTTCTTTGCAGGGCTCTACATTAATATTTGTTGAGGTACAGCACGCAGCAGTATTAACATCTCAACCTTCTTCAAAGAAACTGTATTCTGTAATTTGGGCAACACAATTTTATAGCAATTAACTTACTAGTTCAAACCTATTTTAAGCTTTTCAACAGATACACCTCCTCAGAAGAGAAAACATTAATAATTGATATTTACATGCCACTAATTCAGAGACTACACAAAATCAACACTAGCAAACCCAAAAACAAATACAGCACAAATGCAATGCAAGGAAAGATGGGGAGGGGCAGTGTGGCTTAAGGACTACCTGAGCAGCCTTGAAGGAAATGCATTCTATTAAGAGAAAAGGTACCCACACATCTTAAAACAGGTTCCCTCCCCTTAAGACTCTTAAAAACACAGTGATAATAAAAAGATAAATATTAATATAGAGCCCATCTACCAAAAGAGAATAAAAAAACCTAAATTAAAATAAATTTAGGGGCCTTCACCAAACTTGCTGCAAGTTTGGGGACATAAATATCCAACAGCCATAAAGCTGTGAAAGCCCCCAGAATGAATAAAGTAAATCCCACTTGCCTCAGACTGAACAGGGCAACACTGAGACTCTGCCTCAGCCTGTCCTATGGCAGGGCTATAGGAAGAAGAAAAATTTAAATTTTAGAAAAAACATGACCCAATTAAGTGAAAGACATGCATTCAAAATTAACAAAATTCCAGTGATCAAGCAAACAAAAGAAAATGACTGCTATAGCACCTCTTTTGTTAGGCCCAAACAGTATTTTTTGTAGTTGGTAGCTATTTCTGAATTGGACAGCTTGTTTTGCTTTGTATCTTGATCAATGGAACGTCAGTCAATTGTTTGGGGGCATTTTTCCCATAACTGACAGTATTTGTTGTACTAGTTCATGGAAAGTTGAGTTAAAGATTCCACCAGCCACTGAAAATGTTCACCCTTTTCTCAGTGTTCATGTAGAAACTAGACCAGTACAATTATTAAGACATTTACTAAGAAGTGTCATTAGTTACAATTTTAAATGGTGGCCCCAGCTTATGGACTAGTGTATCAGTCTCAATTTTACTGAAGGTTATAATGCCCTTCTTCCTGTTCATAAAACAGAAGTAATCTCAGTATTTTAGTTTTCGTCTTGTATCCAGAATTCTTTGATTCCTATAAAATAACGGTAGGTTAGCTATCCCATTCAATTTCATCCACGTTTTAAGAGAGTAAGTTATCCAGTTCTGTGTCAGTGCTGCTCAAGAGCTCCACAGACTAAAATACTGGCAGAAATCAGAGAAGGCAGATGAATCTGAATTTATTTCTAGAAGCTTGTTTTTACATTGTCCCATGCATGCACAGAGTGAGGAAGAGTTATCCATTATTATTAGATAAACAGCCCAGCCTCAAATTTATTATCAGCACCTAAAATATCATCTGTGGAAGGAAAAAAAAGGCAATCCAAAAGTTTCAGAAGAAATTTTCAATCTACATATGCCAGCTAAGTAGTATTTTTAAAGGAACTTTGCCAATGGCAGAAGGCTATTCTAATGGCAGTTTGGAAGAGTATATAAAGACTTCTAAAAAACTAACCCAGGCTTTTTCAAGGTTCTTCTATGCCAATCTCATCCATTTTGCCCTAAAGATCATTATTATGATTATGATATATGCTTATTACAATATTGTGAGACCATGCATAAAATAATTGAGAACCTTCTAGAACAATCCTAGATCCTCTAAGTTCTGGCTTTTTTTTGTTAAACCTATTTTTCCATCTGTGTCTGAAATTTTCTTGTAGCCTAGTCTTTTGTATTCAACATTTGCATTATATTGCAATTTCAAGACTGGTCAAAACGCACTTGTGCAAGGGTGAATTTTACTGCAAGATCTGCCATGGCAAATTTGGGCAACAACTTAAAAAAAAGCTTCTGCCTATGTAATTACATCACTAGAGTCCTGCAACAGCTATAAAACATATGCTTTTCTGTAATCATAAAGACTTCTGCAATCTCCTTCTAGGAAGAGATTAACTAAAGCAAAATCCTGTTTTGATGGCTGCATTACATCAGGGATTTTGCTGGCAGAGCTATGTTGATTAACTTGGTACCATAAACCAAGATTGTCTTTATACAAACAACTATTACATTCAAAGTAGTTTTACTGTTTTTGAGTAAATACACCATAAATCCAACTCTCTGAACATTAAGAAGCAGTATCCAAAGAAATGAAGGCACGGACCAACAGACAACACAGGCACTGAAACACCTGCCTGTTTAAAGAAGAATCACACAAGAGACAAGAGTAAGTGAAGACTAAAGGCAGCCACATCACAGCTCTTATTGCATAGGAATGACAGGAGCAGGAAAGTATCCACGTGAAAATCACGGAAAAGTTATTCACCTGCTTGTATGCAAGTACTAATGAAATGCATGTGGCAGTACTTGCTCAAAGGATTTTCATAACATTATACTAAAGAAAGATCGTTTTCAAAATGCATTCAAGCTTGAAGTCTATGCAGTATTAGCTACAAAATGGTACCATTATCAGAATGAGACATTCACCGTTTAAAAGAGTGAAACTTAATTAATACAACTTGCAGAATATGCTGAGTTAACAGTGCATGCAATAAGGTTTCATCCCAGGAAAAGCAGGGGTCTGAAAACAACATAAGGAAAATTAGAGAAAGACACCAAAGGGAGATGGGATTTACTTGACTGGGGCAGAAGGGCAAAGCATCCTTAGAGCAGCAGTATGATCCTCAGAAAAAGCAAGAAGTTTTATAGTTTTACAAGCAGTAGTTAAGATCACTTTATAATATACGAATTTTATGAGTAATATAAATATAAGACATCAAAAATTTCTTCAGTATTTTGCAATTATCCTAATTAGGTAAACAGAAGAAAACCAGAATATTAAAGTGTTGCCTGAGCAAAACAAGTTTTACTGTCAGACTTATGCCTAAAGCAAGATGAAGAGCTAACAAAAAAATTGACATCAAGGCCCACTCAGCACATTTGCAAGCCAAATACTGCACATCTGACAGTGAGCAGTAGATACCAGTGATTAGAGAGATCTGCTTCTCAACAGAGGCTTGGAGTTATGGTCCTAAAACTGCCAAACACTTCAGAAAAAAGTGCTGGCAATTCTTAATGGTTAACCTACAGCCATTCAGCTGTAACTAGGCTGCACTGGACGCTCTGGTGCTTTTGAGACATTCTGTCACCACAGGTCAAAAGCTGAGACACTGTAGTTTTTCAGCTGTACTGTATTTTTGCACTTATAAGAGACAGTACAGAATGAAGTCACATGAAGTACTTTAGTGCAGCTAAAAAACCCCAAGACTTTCAGGAAACAGAGCAGTAATGCTCAGTATTATAATTAATGAAAAGTTTCCACCATCTACAAAAACATCTATGAATATAATGACACAAAAATGTTGATAATCCTTCTAACCCTACCCTATGGAAGGGATATCCCCATTAATTAAACTGCAGATAAGGCTTGAGGCTGGCACATGTATTTAAAGTTGACCTGCAAATGAGAAATTCACCACTCTTTTCCCTATTGAGAAGAGGCTAAAGATGCTCTCACTTCCCTCCCCTTCAAAAACTCTCCTTCTACATACTCATCAGAGGTATAACACAGGAACAAATGATGTCAGACTTAATTAGAACCTTAAGAGGAACTTGTTGCTCTGCTCCTATAAACAGAGAAATGGCTAATTCATAGAGGGAAGACCTCTCTTGGATAAAAAGGTCTCTTAGTCCAGAAACTTTCACTGAATGGCTCAAGAAAACTCAAGACAACATCTGATCATAGCACACAACAGATGGTTACAAATGGTTCACCTTTCAGAGACTGTCAAAACATGAAATTCTGAACATTTAAAGTAAAAACATAGCATGTAATACATTACTCTTGCCTGCTTTGACTCTTCTGTGCATTAAGAGGGTTAAGCTACTATTTCTCTTTTGCAGGTCAACTTCAATACATCAACTGGAAGTCACTCACCCATGTGCCATGCACCTAAGCTTCTAGAAATGTTCACCTAAAAGGCTCCTAAAATTCACCTCCATTTGCACATTAAAAAGCATCAGTTGCAGAGTGAACTAATGGGACATACCTTGGCACTAGGATGTATCTCAGAGCACTTTCACATCCTACAAGCAAGTGTAGATTTCTAGCAAGACTAGAAATCATTTAAAATTTATTGAGGACAAGAAAGCACAAATAAAGAAAGATAAGCATTAAGAGACGTTACAATCAAGAGTTAGGATGTGCCTCCTGCAGCCTCAGTTTTGAGGAGTCAGTTAATAAGTGTACAGGTCTTTGTCTACTCAGACATACAGCTAAGGAGTGATTTTTTAGAACAAGGAATTCAGACTTTATCAAAACAGCACCAATAACTGTGTTCATTACACCAATGGCTACCACGGCATGCATCTGTACAAACCTTTCAGGCAGTTGTCCACAGCTGGTCACGAATAAAAAGGCATATAAATTTTTCTCCTCTTTTATTACAATGAAGTTTATAACAGTACAGAAAAGTCACATGACCTTAGTGGGTCAGTTTACTTAAACCCTGGAACAGGAGGAACTCTAAATACATTAAATATTGTTACAAGTTCAGACTTTAATGTACAAGTAGTTGGGAACAGTTACAGCCCTCACCAAACTATGTTGGGGACATGAAGTCCAACAGCACTTGAAGTGCTGTGAAGGCATCATTTCACAAATAGCAACATAACATTACAGAACTTGCCTTTAAGGTGGTATGTTCATGTAATTCCAGCGCCTTCACAATTTAACGAACCATATTTACTATACTTCACTTCTAAAAACCTAGATGAAACATGAAAAAGAAGCCATACAGTATAAATTGCAACATCAGGAAAAATTCCTGTTATTATTCCAAATAATTTTTCCCATGTAAAATCAGAATGTCCAATAGCTCCTTGCATGTGGGAAGATACTTATTTTTTTTAAAAGTCACAATGAAGCCTTAATTGACGGAAGCTCGGCTATATTAACAGCACAAGATGAGAAAAGGTTTAATCTCCAAACCTATTAGAGTGTGAGTAGGAGCATCAGTAGCGGCCGCCTTGTGACATTACGGGAGGTCTCATTCCCATCGGAGGGCGAGGAGGTCCACTCTGGTATGGGGGCACCATCGGAGGTCCCTGACCATATGGAGGCATTGCTCCAGGAAGATATCCTGGCATGCCCTGGTGATGAGCACCATACTGACCTATAAACAGAACAGTTAAGATGCAAAGAATAATTTTTAAATTTTTTTTTAAACAGTGAGAAGTGCGTATTGTGAAAAGCTCCACCCCTCCCTGCTAGCATAGGCAACTTCACAAATCTTTTCAAAACCAGGAAGCTGGGAAACTTATGATTACCATGAGGTGGCATGGGAGGTCTCATTCCTTGTTGTTGTGGAGGAATTCCTGGCTGAGGTGGCATCATACCTCCAATTGGTCCAACCGGTGGATTACCCAGCGCAGCCTGGCCCGGTCGAGGAAGATTGCGCTGGTATTTAGGCAACTGTGCCCTTCTCTCTTCCTAAAACCAGAAGAGACAACCACAACACATTGTGTTAAAACTCACTAAAAGCAAAGTAAGGAGAGGTGCAACAAAGTAGATTACTAAACTATTTTAACTACCTTACAAATTCAAAGACTACTAGTAACATCACACAGCAGCAGTAGGATTTCTACAGACTTTCTTCCTTAATATAGACCAATTCGAGCATTCTGCATGGAACTCAAATTCTCCCTTTCCCTCAGGTGAATAAAACCTTTTTCTCTTAAAAACCCAAATCTAAAGACCACGGAACTGTAATTAATGTTCATTTGTTTTATCCATAAATTCCGTATTTCTAACTGCTGTAATAGCATCAAAACAACTTCAAAATTTTCAGTCTTTTGTTCTTCACTTACTACCCTGACCTAGTTAACTTCAAGTTTAAGACACATGTAGCAAAAGTCCAAACTGTATTTTGGGTTGAGAGATTTCCCACCACCACCAAAACGAAGGCTTAGACTGCAGCAAGACGACTGCAATATGCCAGTCATCACTTTGCAATCAAAGAAATTCTCTCAGTTACATTTGTTCTGTATGGTTTGCACTGTCACCATTACTAAAATACACAAAATGCAGAGCATAGATGAAATTCCATTACACCTGCCATTATCATCATAAATCGCATTTTTCAGTAAAACAATGAAAACATATTAACTTACCAGTGATATATCCTCATCTGGATGGATCAACTTACTGGTTGCACTGGTTGTTGTGAGGGTAGCAGGCTTACTTGTGATAGATGCAGCTGGTTTAGCTGCAGTGCTATTTGTTGTGCTAGTGGTTGAGGCTGTAGACTGTGTGTAAGCAGGGAATGTTGGTTTGGGGGGCTCCGTTGTTGTTGCAGGTGTAGAATTCAAAGGTTTGAAATCAGTACCAACTGGCCCTGGCACAGCTGCTGCAGCCTGTGAAACACAGAGACAGGTCAACACTTCTCAAAGCATAGGAAAATGTAAATGATGACTGTTAGACCTCTGAAACGTTCCAGTGAGATACATAATTATAATAAGCTGGACAAAAGTAAAGTTCAGCCTTATTGCATACTAGAGCAACTGAAACCAAGACAAAATAAACCCCAGTATGTACACATATACACACACACAGAGGAAAGTCTAGAATTTGCAGGTCAAAAGCCACCACAACAAAGGAACAACAAAGAAAAAACCACCCCACTATTTTATCTCAAACACTGAATTTGGCAAATGTGTTAATCTTTCCTGAACCACTATTTTTTAGGAGCCTCTAAGTATAAATTCATTATTCTTTCACTAAAATAACATACTTTAGCAACCATTAGTTTAGAGTACAGCTTAAAGTGCTAGTATTCATTATAATTAGGTATTTAAGAACTATTTTAATCAAATGTTTAAGAAAGCTCTACTGTGTCAGGGCTTTAAGCATTCTCCTTATAAACACATTGCAGTATTTTCACAAAGTACTATCTACAGAACTTTAATCTTAGCTGTGAATGAAGAACCAATGGAAGCAGGTAAGAGGTCCACTAGAGATCCCCATTTCACATCTCCTACTCTTTTGTTACAAAAACCCTGTAAAAGTCTGTTTTGCAAAGCTGTCTCAAAAGACATAACAATCTCCAAAGCAAACCTTAGTTATGAGAGAATGCTTTTGTTTCTAGTCACTGCATATTTACAATTAACTGAATCTCCCAATCAAATGAACATTTTGCACATAATTCGAACTTTAAATTCCCTACATTATGATGTGCCATATTAAACAACATAAACTAAAAAGCTTTCACCATGCATCAAGCTAACCACTGCCCACTAAAATGCATTTAACTGCTTTCATGCTCTTTTAACCCTTTAGAACCAGGATGTTACATTTCATTCTTTCACACTAAGAAAAATTGGGCACTTTGACATGCTTATTTCTGGTAAGATGCAACTCATAATCAAGGACTCTCCAGTTTTACCAGCTAAACATAATCAGGAATATAACAGAAATTATCTGAAGATGTTTAGTCAATTTTGGATTTGACAGGACGGTCCAAAGGGTTAAGTTGCAAAGCAATTTGTTTTAAACTGTGACTTCCTGCGTACTTGTGCTGTGCTAGGAAACAGAGCGTTAGAAGATGCTGAGAGACTTTCTGAATTGGAGGAAGCTGCACTTGAGCTTGTGACAGGTGTCCCCATCTGTAGCATAAAAGAAAGGAAACAGTGAAAAGTCTCCAAACAAATGGGTGGAAAATATCCAGATGAAAGGATTTCTTACACTAAGCCCTTTCCTATGTATTTTTGTAAACATCTATCTTCCCTGCAGACGCCCAAAATGCAAACAGTACATTACAAAGGCTTCTGCAACATACTTGAAGGCAAATAAAAACTCCAGGATCTAAGAACAAAGTGCATTCAAAGGGAAGAGGTCACAAGCAACTATCAATTCCCCACTTCCCTCCCCAAAACATTGAAATGAACTTTGCAGTACACTGACATACTCCTAAACTTTTTGAAGGAAAAAAACCTCCTAACTCGGGCAATGTTTAACCAGTTTGCAAGACTACAGAATAAATTCATCCATTTATCAGTAGAGAGCCCATTATGAGAACAGCTGAGAACAAGTCATGTCAAGATTTTTAATTTGGAAATTTTAGGTAGAGTTCTATGCAATCAGATTCAGCTAACACATCTCTTCACCCACCCAAAGCTCCCTTATGGACAACAAACTAAAGGCGTTTAAGAGTGTTTTGCCTATTCCTTCCTTCCTCAGTGCTTACAGAACTTCTGTCTGGTTTCACAGCTGTTTTAAGACAAACAAAAGAATCTTTTAAAATTCATTCAAGCACTACACTGAATTAAACTTAAGGATCAACCCAAGCAAAAACCTGAGCCAGTCATTTCTTGGGCCTCCTCAGTAATAAACAGGCACTGTTGACACGGTGGGTATTTGCAGAACATAACAAGAGATTCCAGGCTCTGGGATACCTTACCTGCCCCGCGCTTGGGAAGAGTGGTTTAGTAACTGGAGGCTGTGGGGTCGGGGCTGTAGCAGCAGGAGCAGGAGGCCGGTTCAGAATGCCCGGGGCTGTAACAGGCTGTGCTTGTGTCATTGGAGGCATGCCAGGCCGAGGCCCAACAGGCGGGGGCATCCCTACAAACCACAAACAATGGGCGACGGATCAGGCTCCAGGAAGCACGAATATTCCTTTAGACAATCCTGTTCCCAGTGCTCCTTAGAACAAAGTTTCCCACTACAACATGTATTTTTAAGGCAACAGTAACATAAAACATGACAAAGCATAATGCCAGCAGTCACCAGTCAATGACCATGAACAGGCAGTAACCTCAAACACTTCAGAGCAATGCTAGATTAAGCTGTTTTTTACTAAAGCTGCAATAATGAAGTTTATGCTCTCAATAAAACAACACAATTAATGCAGTAACTGTTTCTGACACATTGCACCTTCACTGCCAAGAGCATGGATAACACCGTTCCAAAATCTAAGAGAGACTAAAGTGTTTTTGAACAGTACCAGAACAGTGACCAAAACACAGCTTTGCTGGGGTCATCAGTAAAGTGGACTGGGACATTTTGTAGTGTCACCATAACACCTGCATTTGGTGTGCATGGAGCTCTAGGAGAGGTCAAGTGGGAAGTTAACAGCTCCCATGGGTCCCATCAAGCAAACCAGCAAATCTCACTTCATTATCACATAGCTGCTGGTCAGCTGGAGCACCCAGGAAACTTAGGGCTGCTAAGATCTGCTTAAGTAATATCTCTTCTAGCTATGGTAAGAGACCAAAATGTCAGTTAAGTTTCTCCACGCTGCAGATTCATTAGTTGGGTAAATCACCAACACTATTCCTCACATTCCACGTTTTCAATCATTATTATTTTCCAACTGCAACTACAAACATTAATTTTAAAAAGGGATGAAGACAGACCAGGCAACACAACAGTGTGAGAAAGTGCAATGAAACAAAAAAACTGTATTCTATTTTTTACTTTAACAACGGTATAAAAGTCAAATAATTATAATAATCAGAAGCCATAAATCAATCACCTCTGCACAAGAACGGCTTCTGTGGCAATCCAACCACATCAAGGTGGTGGGTGATAGCATAAAGTCTGTATGTTCTTTACATAAATCCTAAATCTTAGTGGAAATAAATAAATAAATAAATAAATAAATAAATAAAATTAAACTCTCACCATAGTACGAGTTCGACAACCCTGACCTACCTGGTGGCATACCAGGCATAAGAGGTGGGATTCCTGGCCCAGGAGGCATCATTCCACCCATTGGCATCATCCTATTGAACAGAGAACAAGCACTAGTATGAACACTCATGATGATAATGTGTTAAGACAATTGGCACATCCCTGTATTAGATGAAAAATAATGGTAATTTCAAGAAGCTCTCAAGAGAGGCAATTCCAAACCAACTGACTCCACAAGAATAAAACCAAAACATAACCCAGCACCTAAAACCCCAAACACTTATTTGAACTTTAATTTCTCAAGATCTCACTTCTTCTGAGATTTCCAGTGTTTCTTGAAATCTCTCTGAGACTGTTAGCTGCAGCACAGTGCTCCAAGAACCCGACCTGAGTAGACTCATGGAGTCTGAATGTAGGAAAAGCAGCTAGCTCCAATCACACTGCAATCGCTGCACGTCTGCTAGCACTCCTCTCTGACACTGACTGGCAGATAACCCAGAGCTGTAGAACTATCCAAAAAATATTGACAAAAGCAGAGCAGAGACCATAGGGCAAGAAAGCTTCTGGAGTTTCAATTACAGAAAACACTCCAAATACTAAAGTGGGATTTTGATTTTTTTATGTGAGATGTTATCATTGTAACATTTTTTTCTCCATATTAAAAATGGGTTTGGTTTCTTTTCCTAGATGAGTAGATATGAGCTCTTTACAGGGAACAAACATCTTAAGTTTGCTTAATTTTTTGTAGACATTTAAAAATGGATTAGAGAAACAAAATAAAAGAATGCTTATTACTTTAGTGAGCAAGATAATCTGATCTGCAGCACTCCAGTACAAATCAAAACCCCACTAAGAAGCAGTTTCTGTTTGTATGACAGTCAAGACACTTTTATCACTGCTGTTTTCAGATCAAATTCATGAATAGGTGAGCAGTCATTCTGGAAAGTCTGATTTCTGCTCTCAACTCATCTATCACTGCTACGCAGGGAACAACCACTGCAGAAGCAGCAATACTGGGAACAAAGACCCACTGTCCTTTTTTTGGTTGGAGAAGGCAAAGTGAGTCTTGCCACTCAGCAGACATCAAAACAAGTGCTGGGTGCTCGCTGCCTGCTGCCCCAGAATGACTTCCTGAGAAACTGCAGACAGTGCTAGAACTGGCGTCTCACTAAAACCAAAGTTGCTTTCTGTCTCCTAATCCTTTGGTCATTTTTAAACAAAAGTTAATCAGGTTAAGTAAGCAAAATTTTAGATTAGAATAGACAGAAGCATAATGCAACACCACTCCCTCCTTCCAAAATGAAATGCAGTGAAGTCTTGGCAAATTCATTGGTGTTTTTACAAGTAACAAAACACTCACCTGAAGTTAACAAGGAATTTAATAAGGACTAAGTGTCAGACAACCTGATTAAATTCTGTTGAGTTTCCACCCAGAAAAGCTAAAGTTCTGATAAGCATCCACACCATGTTTGACTATAATATGAATTTTAAATTCAAAGACTATTAAATCAATACTTATGTCCCAGAAGAAAACAAGCTTTCATCTCAGTGAACAAAGTTTAATAAAAACTGAGTTCCTGCAGAATGTCCTGCAGTGTGAAGGATGGAGCATATGGAGCTGTTCGAGAGAGGCTTTAAGTCTCTAAGGGTTAATATTTTGTAGAATGCACTTCAGACACAGTTTTTTAATATTCATTTAAATAAAAGCTTAAGACCTTCATATATTATACAGTAACAAAACCTATTATAGGCAATATTCAAAGGTTTTCCGTAAAACAATTCCAAGCTTATAAAAAACATGACATAAAATGGCATAATGAATGCACCTAGAATTACATTAATGAGATGCTTACATGTTTCCACCACAAAATGACTGCATGTATTTTCTCTGTTGATGTAATCTGTGAAAATTTATGACAAAATCAAAAATCTAACTGTGACTTTCCAAACACATTGTGATAGTGTATGGTGTCAACCCCAAACAAGCATAAAAACCAACATCTTTTACCCAAAATACAAGAAAAATATAAACTATCCAGTACTTTTTTCCTGTTATGTTGATGACTGACAACCAGACACACAACGTATTTGCAATACACAAGGGAATAGTGGCTCACAGAAGGCTCTAAACCAACACAACAAAATTTTACAATATACTACTGCTTACTAATTATTAAGCCAGGAAAACGACAAGATACTTTACTCATAAATTCAGTTTGGCCATATTTTACATGTTGGTTTACAGCCATCCAGTTCTTTGGTTAGTCTTAATATTTAAGTTACAGAGTCCACAATTCCCTATGTACATTTTTAAAATTAGCTTTACTTTTTCTGTTACTGTTTAAAATGCACAATATGAACATGTAGTATTAAATCTTTCTTGCTACTCACCCAGGTGGCATTCCAGGCATAACAGGAGGCATTCCAGGCATCATAGGTGGAACACCTGCCATTAATGGGGGTATACCTTAAAAGAAAAACAGATTTTCAACTCTGATAACATACACCTGCTAAAAAATGTCATCTATTAAGTCATCTTTGCACTGGATAAATGCTTTACTGGATAAATTTTTTACTTTAAATGCTGAAAGTTCTAAATGATTTGAAATAATAATGTTTTGAAATAATATTGCTTACAGACAGTGCAAGATAAATACTACCTGCAAATTTGACTTTGATTGTCCTCAGCCCTGCAAGATTGTGAATTTTCTTAGTGGTCTCCAAAGACATCTTATTACAAGAGACCATTTTTCACTCACTGATCAAAATTCTGTCCTCACTGTATCTGTGGGCTGTGTATGAACGGCCTGTTCTGTGTTAGCAGTCTCCAGGTACACAGCAACCATTCTGTTTCCAAAACCCTGCTATAAACACCATCAACACGTATCACTGGTACACGTCTGTTTGAAGCACTAATCTGTCTTACTACCACATGCCTTCAACCTAAACTCCAGCGTTACGTATCTGAATCCAGTACACCAAGGAAGACATGATCACTCACAGAACAGGGGAAGAAAACGAAGAAACTGCTTATCAGCACCCCACAGGACTATTCTGTGACCCAGTGTTAAAAGAGCAGATTATTATTCAAGCACAAGCAGCAATCCATGTTTCTACTGAGGTTTTCAGTAACTACCTAACACACCCTCTCACCTGGAGGCATCCCTGGTGCACCTGGCACAGGAGGCAAACCTGGCTGTGCCATTGGGGGAATGTACCCCTGCTGTGGCTGAACTTGCTGGGGTTGAAATGAAGTTGAAGCTGCAGATTCATCATCTTCATACTCATCAGAATCATCCTGTTGTTTCTTTTTCTGGCTCTCTGCAGACAGTACAATGCATACGGTCAAAATGAACACGAATTATATTCTATAAAATTAACGAACAGCAAAATTCAAACCTTGTCAGTGTTCAAAAACTCACAGAAATACAATGAAAGAATGTTGTGTGAGCCCACCTATAGCCACAAATAAAGGGAAGGAACATGACTCACACTGTCATGACCCTGAACATACAGAAGGATCTGTCCTCGTGTCAATGTCATGCTGTCCAGCATAAACCAAAGCAGTTCAACCAAAGGTATGCTTGAACAGCAAAGAAACTGAAGCATGTGGAAATCATCAGGATAGTTTTACCTCTAGCCTTTCTTCCCCTTACCGTCACAAATAAATGACCATGCCCATATTCATTAGGTAACTGTTGTAGCTGCTCTGGCAGCAGCTACTTCTGAACAGAAAAGGAAAAACCCCTCCCAACCTCCCACATGGCTGGCAAATGCCTGGAGCTGCTGTCAGAGAATGATTAAATCCCACCCTCACTGAGTGCCATAGCTGAGTAAGGAGCACACCAAATAACAGACAATCAGCCACATTACACCTTACCCTGAGTTTTTTGTTCAAGTAACCTCCTCCGTTCCTCCATATCTTTTTCTGGAATGCCTTCCATTCCATAGATTTCCAGTTCAATGTCTGTTCTTCCAGGAATAGCATTTGGAACAGCATCTATTGTTTCTTTATGTACCTAAAGAAAAACAAACAAATCCTGCTGACCACAATTCTGCATTCTTCAGGCACTTTCAAGACAGGAAAGGAATATCCTTAATGAGAATAATCTCTCTGGCCAAGCATTTTCTTGACCTCTGCTTCCTAATCTCTGATAACTACTATTACCCCTAAAACCATCTTACATAAGCTTAGAAAAACCAAGACAGTACAATTCCTTTACTCCTACAAAACTCCTGACAAAGATCTCTGCTGCACATTGTCCATCTGATTGCTGACACAGCAGGACTCCCGTGCTGCAAGCAGGCCATTGCTGTCTTTTTCTCACCAGTTTTAAAGACTCTGGAAGGTACCAACTCCCACCTCCTTAAGGACACTTAAATTTTACATACTTTAAAGAAAAGCTCATATAAATCTAAAAGTCCTTACCTGCATGCAGTGTATAGCTAAACCAGGTCCTGTATACAGTTTCTTATGACATATATGGCATTTAAAGTGCTTCGCTTTTTGATGCTGTATAAGGATTTTCTCATCATCAAAATCCCTATTACAATACCTATTGAAGACTGTTAAGGAAACATTTAATACTGGGAGTGACCTTTTAGATAGGACTAAGGTAATTAGCACCAGCGTGACTATTCCTGAAGCAAAAGAAATGCACAAGAAACACCTCTGAGCATTCAAAAGGTGACAAATATTTCATGGATGCCTGAAACCAAAGACCCTCGTCCAATCCAGCACATCCCCCTTTACACAGGTACAAAAGTGGGAAGGTGTCTGCAAGCAATCAGAATCATCATTTGATTCTACATTATTTGACCCATGGTTTTCAAGTCCTACCTATTTTTCTCTTCAGGGGTGTGAACGCAGCTAGAGCATTAAAAGAGAAACAGGCTTGAAACCAGCAAAAGGGAAATTATGCAAATGACTCAGGAGTGCCTCTTTAATCAATTACCAGTAACTATCAGTCATAAAAGAGAACAAAGGTTTTAGTTAAAAATTCCTTCCTCTCCCAGTTATCCAACTATCAATTTTTATGACAGCATAATTTGCTGCAGTAACTGAAGAATTCTCTGCTTTTCAACAAATATTTAAAGCAAAGAACTGTTTGGACATCTATGTAACAGAAGAGGCAAACTGCATTTCCTTTCTGAGGGTCAGCATTGATATTTCAGCAAACACCCCACGCATTTTTCTAGGTGAAACAAATACACGCTTGCTATTTATTAAGAAAATGTTAACACACAATGTTTTCCTTACTTCCACCAAAACTTCATAAATTTATGTTATAAACAAGCACAAATCCTTCCAAACCAAAACGGCAAAATATCTCGGAGCACCTCATAAATTTATTAGACAATTCTAAAGACAGAAGCGTAAGAGAAAAGGCAGATTTGTAATCACTCTTCAACACATTCTGAAGGAGCGATCAAATGAAAAGCCACCGGTATTTCTGAATACCGAAAAATTAAACATGATTATGATGCAGCAATTACAAACTGAAAGCTCCCCGAAAAATAAAAGTTTTCAAAAATTCTCTTTTAACCACATCCCACCCCCTCTGTGAATAAATGTATTTATTAATAGCGGGACTCTCTCCCTTTAAAATCCTTCTTCGCAAGGGATAAAGAGCATTCTCCATTTCCCGCTGTCCCGGCTTTAGGGATCGGGCGGGAGGCCGCGGCCTCGGCGAGGGCGATGGGAGCGGGCCTGAGGCCGTGCGGGGGGTGGGGAGCACAGAAAGGGCACGGACTGGGCCCCATCCCGAGGAGCACAGCGCTGGAACAGGGCCAAGCACCGAGACAAACCGTAACGAGCGTGGGGAGAAGGGCTTGAGCCCCATCTCGGGACGAGACCGAGCTCCGACCGCGCCAGGCCGCGCCGCTCCCCTCCCCCACCCATCTCTCCGCATCCACCGCGCTCCACACAGAAGGATACCAGCACCAAGGCTTCAGCTGCTTCTTCTTCTTACGGCCCATGGCGGCGTCACCCCGACCTACAGCGCAAGAGAGCCAAGCGCTCCCTCAGAGCCGCAGCGCCCGCGCGGCCGCCCCGGACTGAGCGAGAGGCACAAAATGGCGGCCGAGCTCCCTCAGGCACCGTTGCGGCCTCCGAACTCCCAGAATGCACCGCGCCAGGAGGGTGGGAGGGGGCGCTCACGTGACGCGATCGCGCTCGCCCCCACCGGGCTGTCCCGTGACGCCTCGCGCCGCCGCCGCCATTTTGTCCAGTCGGGGCTGTGGGTGGTCTGCCGGAGGCATTTGAGTGTGTAACAGAAACAGTCACGGAGTAGTTTGGTTTGGGAGGGGCCTTAAAGCCCATCTCGTTCCACCCCTCTGTCATGGCCAGGGACACCTTCCACTAAACCAGGTTGCTCCGAGCCCTGTCCAACCTGACCTTGAACACTTCCAGGGATGGGGCAGCCACAGCTTCTCTGGACAACGTGTTCCAGGGCCTCGGCACTCTCCGAGCAAAGAGCTTCCTCCTAATCTAAACTGTTGCCTGTCTTCGTGTTTAATGTCACTGAGAAACTGTGTTGTCCCCACTAAATGTTACTGGGCAAGAAGAGTTCTGGTGCTGGCTGTGCCTGAGTTGCTGGGTGCTGACAGCGAGGCCATGATGTGTGGGGGAGCCTGGCACCCCACGAACACAATAAAACCAACTTAAGTGTGCCTGGACTGGTCCCTCTGTTACAGTGACAGTCCATCGGGGTGTGTGTCTGTGTTACCCCCATGGCTCTCCTCCTCACCCTAGGTCTGCCAGGTGCTTAGAAGAGAATCACAGAATCATTAAAGTTGGAAAAGACCTGTAAGATCATCAAGTTCGGCTATCAGCCACGTCCAACCCTTTGCAGTGGCACTGCTGCAGCTGGGGGTCACATCTGCTCCCCCTACGGGGCTTGCCTGCAAAAGGAGACTGTGGAGTTTCCTTCTCTGAGACATTCCAAACCCACCTTGATGTGTTCCTGTGTCACCTGCTCCAGGTGACCCTGCTTTGGCAGGAGAATTGGACTGGATGATCTCCAGAGGTCTCTTCCAACCCCAATGATTCTGTGATTGTGATTCTGTAAATACCCGGTAGCCACAAGGCCGAGTTAACAAATGTGCTGTTTTAACAAGGAAAGAGTATTTCAGAAGCAGAACATTTTAAAAGCAGACAGCATGTCTAATCCTGCCAAATGCCCTTCCAATCCAAACCATTCTATGATTCTAAGATATGATTTGAGCAGGTCCTGCCGTTAAGTCAGTGACCGGCTTTTGAAAGATTACTTGTACTGACAGAGGCACTGCGGCGCCTGTCTTGCATTTTCCTGTGCATTACACGTACGGAGGAGCTGCAGCAGCCGGAGCCGCTCCAGCACGGCTCGGTACCGCCCTCTGTGGGGTGAGGACACACGGCCCGCGCGCTGCGAAGGCTCCTCCCGGCGCCGGGCCGCAGGGCAGGCTCACGGCACACCCGGCCGGGCGGGGCGGGGCGGGGCGGGGCGGCAGCGCGGCCCGGGGGCTCCCCGCGGCACAGGCGGGGCCAGGGCCGCGATGCTGCCGGCGCTGCCGGACGGCGACGAGCGGGAGCCGGAGAGCAGCGAGGAGGGCGGCGGCGCGGGCGAGGAGCGGCGGCCGGAGCGGCACGGCTGCACCTACCACGGCCTCTATGGCTACCGCAGGTGAGGCGCCGGGTTTCCCCGCGGGCAGGCCGTGCCCAGGCCTTGGCCGTTCCCAGCTCCCTGAATTCCCTTTATTTTTATTCCTCCTCTCTCTCCCCAGTGAGATTCTTTCCCTCCCATGATGCACCGATTCCCTGCTCCTGCTTTTACTCGCCCTCGGGCCGTGTCTTTTCCCTGCTGCAGCCCCTGTTCCCTGTTGCGTGGCACGGCTGTGAACTCACTCCGGGCATCGCTTGGGTTCCAGGTCCGCGCAGCAGGGAGCCGCCGGCGGGGATGGCAGTGCCGGCGGCGCTGTGGCACACACACCTTCCACCGAAGACTTCAGGTAAAGCCCAGCTGCAGAGCGGCACGGTCACGGAAATATCCCCCGCGATTTGAGGTCTTTGCCGTATAGCTGTCAGATCATTAGATGTTAGGTCCTGTAAAGTCCTTTCAAAACACAACCCCCGTGAAAGCATTCTGCAGTCCCCATGGCTCTTCTTCTGGAGTACCTGGGAATAGACACATACAGAGCTCAAGTAATGTATTAAACAGAAACTATCATCCTTGACTTTGAACTCTCTTTATTTTTTTCTACTAGTACTTGATACTGCTGTATTGACTTAATTTTTCATGTAGGTAGCATACAACAAAAACTAATTTTCAATTGAGACATCTTTCCATAAGCTCTGTATTACAATTGGAACAAAGAGAGCAGTGTCTTGTCCGTAGCCGGGAAGGTCAGCATGAGCTGACACCACATCTCCAGACTCCTGGTGAGTGGGCAAACCACTGACTGCTCCTGATGGGCCAAAAGTCACAGAGCTGCCTTAGCTCTCACCAGAGAGAGATCGCAGGGACCTCCCTCTAGAGGCACGTTCTGCACATGCTGAGAGACACAAAACGGTAACATTTGCCTTTTGGTAACGCTTTCTTCTGGTTTTTAAAGCCTCTCCTTGCTGGACACCAACTTGCCAGCTGAAGCAGAGACGGAGCTGCGCAGTTTCATTGCTAAGCGTCTTACTAAAGGAGCGCTGTTTGAAGGAATGGGCAATGTAGCATCAGTGGGACTGAGGTAAATTTTTGAAATTACATTGGCATATCTTGCTTGCCTGCTGCTGCACTTAGGTTTAATCCTGACTCTATGTTCTCAGTCTGTTGCTGCTGTCAGTAACAGCCGTACACAATGGCACTTTCCTTTTTTAGGTAACTTTGAGAAAAATATTGTTTTAAATAATTTGCTGTTTGAACACTTTAAAAATACTACAGATGTTTATAATTATCTCCTTTTAAACTACTCTGATCACACACAAGAAAAAAGAGAAGGTCTAAGAGCTGCACCTACCACGGCCATAGGAGCCACCAGTGCTAGTGGTTAAAATTACCTCAGAAATCGTGTATGCTTTTTGCACTTATTTATTGTGATGTATCTGGAAGAAAGTAAATTTCTTTTTCTTTTCTCATAGCATACCAGAAGGTAAAGTTGGTTGTTACTACTGTCGTTTCCAACAAGAAAGTCTTCTTGAAATGGCAACACTGGAATCAGACATCAATGCTCCAGAATATGTGGTGTGTTTCTTAGGTGGCTCAGAGAAAGGCCTGGAACTATATCCTTACCTTTAACTTTCTTTATCTGTATGGAGAGGGAGATGATGTAAAAACTATCTTGTCATTTTGTCTGTTCTTACTTGAAATCAGCCCATTTGTGCACACCTTCCAGTAACTGAAAATGTCAGTAACAGCCATATACTGAAAGGAAAAAATGTAGGTTTTAACTGATGCATCTTATTTTCCTTAAGAAAATACTTTCAGACTTGAGCTGGACAAATACATTCAAAATCTGAAGATAAACCTTGATTTGGAGGTAAAGCCTAACTTTATTTTTTTTTAAAGTTGAAAATTAGTATTTATGCAGATTAATTGCTAAAACCCACTGTAAGATCTAATCTATAGAGACAAAATAGGTGTTTCAAGTACCAGTATGAAACACTGGGAGAGATGCTTGACTCACTGTAGTACAATGAATGTCTAAGGTGCTATCAGCCACACAAGTCAAAATGAAAAAAAGAAAGGGGGGACCTTTTTGTGTCAGTCATTTATTTCTTTAAGGTCACTTACAGTTAAATTTGGAGAGAAGAATAATCAATAAAAGGCAGTGGCCTACAAGGAACTTAGCGATGTCCACCTTGATACTTACCAGTTCTGAATGTTAAGAAAGGACATTCGTGGGTTTCTTGTCACATTTTTCTAGTGGAAGTTCTGCATTTTAAGTCTCTTTGTCATCCCATCTGCTGGTCTTCATTCAATATATACCATAATATTACAATTCTGGCTGTTCCTTAAAATGCAAGGCCTTTCATTGCTGATAAAGCGAGGCTTTAAATGTCAAACTCATTATTTTAGTTCGCTGTGGTTTGAGATTAAGAAGGTTTCAACATCCAATTATCTTAGGTTGGGTAGATTATTAACAGGCTTCTATTGGTGTAGAAATCTGATTTGTAATAAAAGTTTTAATGTTTCAATGTGTTACAGCAAAAGAACTTGGAGGCCTGTGTTAGCCCCTACCTGAGGAGCTGGTTTGAGGATGCCATCTGCCCTATCCAGAGGGTAGTGCAGCTTTTCCAGGACAAACTTGCCTCTCTGCTGCACGCTGTAAGTGCATTTAAAATTGGGTAGCTAAAAAGCCTCCAGAAGGCATCTCAGTGACTCCAGTATGGTTAAAATGTTTCTTGTATTTGCTTTCTCAGCAGGAGGAAATGAAAAACCGTTTTTTCTTTTTTCTTTTTTTTTTGTGGTTTTTTTGGTGTATTTTTTTCTTTTTTTTTTTTTTAATTCAGAACAAATACTTTTCCCCTGCTTATTGCTAAAAAAGCATGTAACAATTTCTTCTGTCACTTAAAAAAAAAGTTACCTAATGGTGTCCACGCTGAAATGAGAGTAAGAAAATCAGAAGTATCATGAACTGGCTGTCCATGCCATAATTTGTCTGAATGAAAAGGGCTGTTATATATTGTATATGTGCCTTTTGTAATTCACTGGAAACAGGAAAGAGAGTAATCCTAGCTCTAGTCCCTGAGTTTGAGGAGGTTCTGGATGGAATAACTAACAGAGTATAAGTGCTGAATTTCATCTGAGTGCAGAACCAGCTGCAATGGCAATAATACATAGTACTGCTTTGATAAGAACAATTTTTAAAGTACCACATTATGTATTTATTGCTCAGAACTGCAATATAGCAACAAAAGGAATACTGAAGTTGCAAAGCTGCATCCAGCTTTTCCTTTTTTTCTTTAATTTTTGTTTCTTTTTTTAAGGCTCTGAGTTACACTCCTGTAGAAGTCAAAAATGCAGATGAAAGAACAGAAAAGGACATCAGCAGGTAAAGATACTTTGAGCCCAAGGAACCTTTGAGTAACTTGGCTACTGTGTCTGACAGTCACCTTGGTGTCTAGGAGTTGTAAAAGAGCAAACACTTGACAAGAACTTTCTGTGTCAGGTTCCTGGCAGCTGCCAGCCTCCAAGGACTTGTCCAGGAAGGCACAATGACCTCGCTGTGCATTGCCATGACAGAGGAACAGCACAAGAACATGGTTATAGACTGTAGTGGACCTCAGCCCCAGCTGCATAATGCAGGTGAGATTACAGCTGAGAACACTTCATGTTGCTCCCTTAGATCCATCAGCTGCTGAGAGCTGCGACGTTGCAGGCAGTGGAGGACATTCTGAAGGTCACAGGCTCCCACCCAGAAAGTTTGGGTTCTGTTTTCCTATGAGGTACCAGAGTAGTTTGTTACACCAGACACACTGGAACTCTGAGTTGAAAATGCTTGGTAATAAAATCCACAGTGCATTTAGTTTGTGGACCATGAAAGCATGACTTGTACAATTCAGGCAATCTGTAAAACTTTTTTTCCTGTTGTGGTTTTGACAAATGTTAGGAAAAAAGATTCAGCAATCAGAACACAGTCTTGCATAATCACTGTAGCTGTCTTTGCTTTTCTTTTCCATGTGTATTGTTTTTCCTTAAGATTAATTTCCTGGCTCAGGCATATTACTATCACTTGTTATGTGAGAGTGAGTAAACCAGGTGAATGCAGCCATATATTTATGTTGAGCTCATTTGCATTTTCTCATCCCTTCTCTGTGTTCCTGAACATTTAACAGGAAGCAACAGATTCTGTGAGGACTGGATGCAAGCTTTCATGAATGGTGCTGAAGGTGGAAATCCATTTCTCTTCCGGCAGATTTTGGAAAACTTTAAATTGAAGGTACCTGTTCATATATGTTAAAAACTTGAAGAAGATACTGGGGTTACTGAGGGAGCAAATACTATATGCAAAATATTATTTTGCAGTGAATAAAAGTTTTTGGTTATTATGTTATCTATATGTTATTAACTGGTTAACTCTGAAGCTTAATTTGAAGGCTGGCTTACTGTAGTCGACAAGAACAGCTGTAAAATAGTGTGAAAGTTTCTTCAGTGAATGCTCCAAAGGTGATTTCTCAAATTTAAAGTAAGGCCCACCTTCTTTGTTGCTGTTGTTTTCTTCAAATACTGTTAATCTGAGTCTTGCACACACAGTGTCATGCAGCTGGTAACACTGGTTCAGTAGCTAACGCTTCTTAAGTGAGCTGCCATCATAGAATTTTTGCTACAAGTTGGACACCACATTTTGTCCACTCTTTTTACATCATTATAGTATAAGCTGTAATATGCATCCAAGACAGTATTCAATTTTTATATTTCACTTAAGTAGTAATACAAATGTCTATTTTGTATTTATCCTTTATTTTCCATGATACCTTGTTTTCATTCCATGTAGGAGGATAAGAAAATGCTCTGTTGCTCTTTCCCCAGGCTATCCAGGACATTAACAACCTGAAGAGGTTTATCCGCCAGGCTGAAATGAACCACTATGCCTTGTTCAAGTGCTACCTGTTCCTAAAGAACTGTGGCAGTGGAGACATCCTGCTGAAGATTGTGAAAGTGGAACATGCAGAAATGCCAGAAGCCAGGAATGTAGTGACTGTCCTGGAGGAATTCATGAGAGAAACACTAGTGGCTTAAAATTATGTTATGTATAAATCATTTATTTCTTCTGTGCAGCTACTGCAGGATTTTTAATTTATATTTAAAAGTATTGCCCAAGTCAAACTTTAGTTGCAGTTTCACCTGCCTTTTCTTGTTTTTAGACAAAGCACTATGAGCTTTTTAATGTGTAACTATCAGATAATACAAACTCCTGCAGAGTTTTCAGATTCTCCAACTTGACTTGCCCCTGTTCTGAGGATATCATGACATTTGATTTTTACAGTCATTGCAAAACCAAACCCAAATCCCTTACTTGGCAATAATTTCACTCTTTTAAATATTTTAAATATATTTAAAATCATTTAGATCTGGCTACTTCATTTTAATAAAGAAGTACAAACATCTGGATAGATCCAAATAATGAATTGTTATAGTTTAGATAAGAGAACCTAGGTACTGAGTCTGTAGCTGGTTTCTGCTTTCAAACTGCCAGTTTGTTCTGCTGCCACTGGATCCACAAGTTGGTAATTGGTATGAACAGAGCTGCCTGAACCATTGCAGTGATCAGTTTGTATGTGCCTGTGTGTGTGCATACACACACAACTGCTATCTGAAATTCCCAGGCTATTTGATGTATCCCCTTCTTCCTTAGTCTGAGATGTGATCAAGCCCTTCCTTGTACATTCTTATATTACGGTTTTGCATAACTCTAAATAATCCTGTATTTTTCAATCACGAAGAAACTACAATGTTCCCACATTTAATATTAAGGCTTCTTCAGAATTTGAAGTAAATTAACTTCCCAAATTAATTAGTCAGACTTTAAAACATTTCGCTGTATCAGCAATGGATTCTTACCCACATCATGGGACACAGGCAGCAGAATACCTGAACGAAATCTATGGCTACAGCTGGAAAAAAAACTCATGGAGTCTCTGAGTAACCTCATAAAGAGGGCAATTTCTGCAAAGCTGATACAAGCAGAATTCCCTGTTGGTTCCCTTTGGAGCAGAGGGTGTTTGAACTCCTCCTGCAACAGTGCCTGTAACTAATGTGATTCAGTGTGACTTGTGCTGGTGCTCTGTACTGTGAGGGCAGGAGTTGCTGCTTTTCTGTGACACCACTATGTTGAACCTATAATAAGGTTGACAATAAAACACCTTGAAATCCTCAATAGTCTGCCTATAAATTGTCAATGAGTGTGGTCCATGTTGTCTCTGTTCAAAACCCTTTATCCCTCAATGCAGAGGAGCTGCAAGTGTGGCATTAACAGCCAAGGTAACATATAATGTATTTGGGCAGGTCAGAGAAGAAAAGCAGTGTGAAAGAAAACAAACCCGTCATTCAGTCATTTGTAGTTGCTCTGAGAACAAACAGGTGTTTTCCTTCATGAGTGAGTACAGCAGCAGCACTCAATAAAACATGTCACCTTTGTTGCTCCTGTACATTTCTAACAAAGTTGGAGCACTGATTGCTGAGTTTTTTGGCTGATCAGGACACAAGAGTGAGGTCAGTGCTTAAAAAAAATAAGTTGGATGTGAAGAACAGGTAGCAAGAAAATGTATGGTGCTAGTAGGCTGAAATACTTTCTTGTCTTAATTGACAAAAGCTGACAAAATGCACCTTACCTTCATGCTGCAAGTCCTCAGCTAATGAATTGAGAGATTTGAGTGTCTTGGAAAGTTTAGTTCAGTGCAGAGAACTGACAGCAAGAGCTGAGTCTCACACATGGTAGCAGTGATCTGCCTCTCTTAGGAGTAGCACATCTGACAGGAACTGCTCCTACATACATCTTCATTCCTATAAATTATATTTTAACCCAGTGTTTCCCAACAAAAACAGCTTATTTTTCAAAATAAGCCTCCCCCTTCCACACTGGCAGAAGGATTTTTATTTCAATCAGTTGGGGGTTTACTGCAAACTTTCTGGATATGTTGTTTCCACTCTTGATTCAAGAGATGAGTGCTGGCTCTCAGATTTGAAAACATTCACTAGAGCTTGATGTTAAAAGAGCACAACCCTCCTCCCAGTAAAAAATTCACTCAAATGTAAAAACAAAATTTCTTAAATATCATCAACTTTCCTGCAGTTCCGAGGTCACTGCAATGAAGGGACAGCTGCCAAAAGGTGGGACAACACCTGAATTTCCATACAAGTTCCAAGCCAGTTCTGCATCCTCATTAGATCTTGTGTAGAAATTAAGCTGCAGTTCACTCTCTCCTTTATCTGTTAGACAGACATAAAAATGAGTTACCAATGTCATTATTAGAAGATTACATGGCAGAGCTCCAAACCAAGGGCTCTTTTGCTAAATACCATGTTAACGGTAGACAAATGTACAAAACTGTACTTGGAAGTTCTTTCTTGGTTTGTTTTTTGGTATGTGATATAGAACAATTCACTTTTACTAAAAAGCAAAAAAAAAGGAAACAGAAAACAAACAAAAAAACCCACAAAAAAAATTTAATGGATTCTGCGCTCAAATAATATTGTCACAACAAAAATATACAGAATGTACACAATACAAAAATATTTGGAAACATACAATAGCATCTTACCTTGCAAATATCATTTTGTTTTACTAGCCCTTCACAGGGAAAGTACCATTTGTTCAGTATTTTAAGGCAGAAAATTACGTAGTTTAGTGCTTTGTGTTTAACACTTGGATGTGTTGTTATCATTAGTAGTGTAAGCAAAAGAAAAGCTGTATAAATCTGGCTTTATTTGCAAACTGAACAGACACTGTGGGAGTCAGGAGGGAGTCAGTGACAACGTGTCTATCAAGCTTGCTGAAAATAAGGTACTTTAGCTACTCAAATAATGGGGAATATTTTGTGCTCTGTTGTAAAGTACCCTGAAACATAGATTTTTCTGTACTCCTACAGGCATATTAGAAAGCTTTTTCCAATTAAAAGCCAATGATTAATGGTGACATTAAAATACATTTGCCTTTAAATAAGCTTGGTTTCTGTCTTGGGTGTGATTCTTTTTTACAGAGCTGCAAAATGCACTGCACTCCTTTATAACCAGCTCTTGGTATCAGTGTTTAGAGAAGGAATCTTTGAGTTCTACCACACAAAGCACTGCAGAGCAGCCACCACTGTAAGAGGAGCAGGGGAGCATCAATACTCAGAGGTGCTGGCCTGGGCTCTCTTGTCCCCAGCTTGTCCCCAGAGGTGGCTGGTGCTGACCTGCCATGTGCCCATTCTCCAGCTCCACTTCGGGCAAAGCCAGTGGATGGGTGTTCCAAAGCAATCGGGCTGAGCTTGAATCTTTGTGAATAGACTGAGCTCTTTACTCACTGAAGGATGTGTGAAAGTCCCACCCACCATCCTGTGAGACTAAATATTGGCAGAGAACAGCAGCTGCCTTGCAAGGTCAGCAGTCAGCTGCTGTCAGTACCAGCTCTGAACACGTCAGATTCCATCCTCCATAGCCCAGTTCAGACTGAAAGGGCCCAATCTGATCTAAAACACATGGGCAGTATAATCCACCAGAAGCAGCAAAGGTGTTGGGATACAGAATCCCTGAGCTTTATTTCTAGCAACAATTTCTCTAGTTTCTCCCTTCCCTGTTGATAACATACTTCCCACTGCTAAAGGAGCAAACAGTGAAAAAGCACAACATGCCACGTAAGTGCTAAGATTCCTCATCAACTGACAGGGAAACAGTGACACAATATGTTGTCTCACAAACTCAGCAAAAGTAAATTCATCAGCATTTTTATGACTGCTACACTTCACTCAGAGATTGTTTCCACAAACCTCCTCTCCCACCACTGCACGACAACTCTCTCGGTTCTCCTATCTGTGTGTAAAACTAATTTTTACCTGTCTTCAAGCATCTAGGAATAAAAGGTGCCATTAGCGGTCCCCGTGGACTTTGATCTGCCTGGTTGTCCTCTCGTCCCGCCTGCGGCCGGCAGGTGTCCCTGGCAGCTCCGCATCCAGCGCCGCCTGCCGCACTGCTCCTCATCCTCACGGAGCTCTGCTGCAATGAACTCACCGCAAGGGAAATCCACCACACAAACCGCTGCTTCTTTGCTTTTCTCCCCCAGGTGTTGTGTCCTCACTCAAGGACACAGCGTTATGTAACTTGCTTCCAGGTGCTCTGTTCAAACCTGTACATTGGTGACAGTCCTTGCCTCCTGCTCCAGCACTGCACAGTTGTAAGGTTCAATAGATTCATGTTTTATCTGACTGATGGAAAATCCTAGTTGAAATACAACCACAATAAATCACTGAAACCGGTCCCTCCGTGGATGCTCCTTCAGGAGCACGCTGCTGACTGTGACAGGTTGGAACCACAAATGAGCAGGATGGAGAGTATTACATCTCCAACATGAGCCAGCAGCTTCAAGGACATCTGGAGGTAACAGAAAAGCCTGGTTGCTGTTAGTTCTGTGGTGCTGCAGCACTGTGGCACTGTGGCACTCCTGGGTGTGTTAGAAAATAACATAACTGGAATTCATTCACTCTGTAAAAACATAGCAAGTTTTCACACTGCAATTTTAATGATTAAAAAATTAATTTAAAAGCTTAAGCACTTTGTGCTGCTTCTGGCTCCATGAGGTGATTGATTCTTAGCAGACAACAGGCTCTGTGAACAAACTTCTCCATGTATGGGGGGAGATTTAGGCTCTGATGAACAGGAATGTGAGAGGGCTTCATTCCTTCACCTACAATAAATCTAACACTGTCTTAAAGTCTGGCCTTTCTGATCCCCAAGGTTGTTTGTAGACTTGCTCAGGCAGGGTACAGGGACACAGGAATGAAGTCAGAAAGATGAACAACAGTTTAAAAGAACAAGTCCTAAGATCAACTTCAGAGCTGTTTTCTACCAGTTCATGTAAACTACACTCATCTATGGAAAAAGGACCAACAAAGGCTGTCTGCATTACTCTGTTCAGCTCCCTCCCACTCCTGAGCTGAATAAAGACATTTTGGCCATGATCAAACTGATCAAGAAACTGGTGGCTCTTGAACTTTTATCTTGCTGCTTCACCTCAGAGCACACACTGGCAGGCACAGAAACCTTTACTGGTAAGAAACTCATGGGCAGTAAGTAGCTTTCAGCTGAGAAACCAAAACTAAAAGTCAATTGGTGCACATTGCACTCAGGTAAATTAAAGGCAAAATAATCAGAGGTTTTCTGCAATTGAAATTTTCTACCAAAATTTTTAAAGCTTTCCTAAGATTTCAAGAGAACTCCCATTCCTGGTCACTTCTGTTTTCAAGGCATCTGTCATGAGAAAGGCTTAGCAATAAGTGAGGGAAGGAATGTCTTCCTTACTTGATAACCATGTCAGAACTGTCCTAGCTCCCACCCACCCTCCTTCCTGCTCCCAGGGGGATCCGTGGCTATGACACTCACTGGGCCAGCACCTGCAACAATCTGTGAGAACTCTAGTGACTTCTGGGATCTGGACCCAAACTGCAGAGGTAAAATGGCTCAGGGAACCAATCCCTTTCCCAAAATGATCAGAGCTCTGACCCTTATCCCTTCCTCTGAGCCCCAATGAGGGCCCATGAACAATGTACTGGCCATGCAGAATAACAAAAGTGCAACTGCCCTCAGAAATCCCATTTCTGTGCACAAAAGTGACAATTTTTTTTTTCTTTTGCAGGTAAGGCTTATTCCAGGCTGCAGAAACCCTTATTTTCTCTCCCTTCCTTCTGAGCCAACAGAAGTTTTATGAGTGCATCTGGTGGGAGAAAACTTCACCCTTCAACCCAGAGTTATTTTCCTTAAGAGGCAAAGAAGGGGGCAGCTGATAAGCACTTGTGGATGTCCCCTCTAGAAGGACAGGCAGCTACTAGCCTGTGGAATCATCTGGCAGCATGGATAACACAGCTGAGATAATAAAGCCCACAACAGAGAGACATTTTTCTACAGAGCAAACACAAGTGCTATGGTGCCCATGGGATGGGCTGTGAAAGACTCTGGTGGCTGTGCCTGGGCACCAGCAGGAAATAGAAAAAAGGAAGAGAGGAGCTTGTCTGGAGAGACTCTTATGGCTGCTTTGTCCAGACCATTGAATAGGTGGGTAAAGGACAGAGAAAAGGAGGGCACCAACATTCCTGGACTGTAATTTGGCAGCTCTCTAAAGTGACAAGCAAAATAAGCACCTTACAGAGAAGAGTACCTGTAAGCTCTGCTTGTGCTACAGATGTCCCTGTGTTGTCCTTAGGTCTGTGCAGGCATCTGTATGAACTGTGCCACAGCCCACTTACAGATTGCCTGAACTGGGCTTGATCAATGTTAAAGGCAACTAACTGTTGTCTTGAGCTCCTGAACATCCATTGCCTCAGGCAGAGGCATCCTCAAAATTTAGAAGTCATATTAAAACCAGTTTTATCCATTTCACAATGATCACTGTAGCAAATAACACCCTCTCCATTTCATTGGGAAACCAGTGCTACATAGAAACTGATTTAACTCCACTGTCTTCAGTGGACTTGGCCCCAAATGGACTGTATGGCTGTAAAGACTGGATAACTCCCACCATGGGCTGCTGGAGGTGATCATGGTCCCATTTTCCTAATAAGAACCTGCTGGAAGAGTTGAGATTCTTGCTAAGAGCTCACTGCAGGCCAGGTGTTAGGTCAGTGTGGCCAGAAAAAAAGTGAGAAGAAAACAGCACCTGATTGTCATCTGATAAAATCACAAATGAACATTTGCCCTCCTTTTCTTCATCCCTCAAATGCCCCCCCCCCCCAAAAAAACCCAAACAACCCAGCCACACCTTTAGCCACACCAGGCTGGGGACGGGGGAATAATTAATTAAAATCAAGTGAAACATGCACAGTGAAAGTCACTTCTGGCTGGGTGTCCACAACACTCTAAGATTTCCGATGTTCATAGTGCAATTTCATTTGACCTGTAGTTGAAGACCAGTCTCCATCACTTTGTGTGATCAAGTTCTGCCAATTCCTTTGAAAGTTGTGCAAGACAAGTTTCAGCATAGGCTAAAATACCTTGGGAACCATTCAAGTAATTAGACAGTGGCACTGGTATGGCTGAACAGTCAGATGTGTCCAAAGAAACCAGATTCAAGCTGCCTTGTACCATTGGAGTCTCTAATTAGTAAATGTCTGCTCTTTTCCCCTTTTAGTGTTCAGTAACATTGAGGAAATTCACTGAACAATTGGCCATAATTCCAGCACTGACCTGGAAAATACAAATATAGAAAATATTGATGTGTGATTATAACCCAAGCAGTCAGTGCCCAGGGGCAGGGCAGAAACTGCAGGGCATGGCCAGCCAGTTACAGAACCTGCTGGATTTGTGAACAAACTGATTGGCCTATTCTTTCATGAGACCTTTAAGCACCTCCTCCAGCACACTCGTGTGTTCAGGAGAATCATCCTTCCCTAAGTTAAATACAAAAATAGATCCTCCATCTTCATTCATTTAACACAGCTGACAGATGACTTCTGCTCTCCAGTTTTCTGTCCCATGTTTTCAAGGAGGGGGAGGTAGCTTTAGATCCAACAGACCGTAGGCAAAAATATTCCAGAAGATGGCAAACAAAACAAAAATGACATAAATAGAAAGGAAGATCCACCATAAAGTCTGATCTTGCAGTCTCTGCTCATAGTTCCTCAGGATGATGACACCAAGGGTGATTCCAACCATCACCCCTCCCAGGTGAGCCATGAAGCTGGGGTGGGGGCATGGGGGATAAGCAGAGGGGTGGAATCGCAGCCACACAGCTCTTCCGAATTCAAAGCTCACTGCAACAAAGAATAAAAAATAAATTAATTGTCTAGCTTTATCCCTTCTTAAGTCCACTCTTAAGTCCACTGCATGCCTGAGGAGACAGAGAGGAGAAATTGCTTGTATGGTGAGTACAGGGAAGCTGTGGCTACGTCAGGGCTGTGGCACACAGACATGAGGTCTCTCCAGTGACTGGAAAGTGGTCTGGGTTTGTGAGAGTGTAGATAGGTTGGGGAATACTCACCTTCTGAAATTCATACCAAAACCATAAAAAAACGAGTTAGAATTTGAAGACAGTTGTCTGTGATGAACACATGGTTTAGTTTCTCTTATTGTGTCCCCCTGGGGATAGGGCTGAAGAGAACTCATCAGTGTGGGTATAATGCTGCTGCCACCCTAGACAGGACATGCTCTAGGAAACCCAAGTATTATCATTATGAAAGCATAGCCTGTTTGAGACTGCAAAGAGAAGATGTTTTAAGTCCCACTCTTTCACAAACACCACAAGTTACATGCTGGCTAACGACAAATCCTTGTTTACAAATGTTTGTGTTGAAATTCAAAATTTACATAGGAGAGCAACGTGGTTCCTGCTGCCAGAAGGTCCAGCTGCAAGTTCCTACCAAAACTGCTGCAAAGTCAAAACCCTCTGAATCAGCATGAACTATTATGACAAGGACAAACAAAACAGGACTGGCTGCACATGTGCCAAGCATTGTATGGTACTTACTACAGATCAAGGCAACAGCCATGCGCAGCAGTTTGAATTGGCACTTCATTCCTGACCAATTCTGGAAAAGAGACAAGGAAAACAAAGTAATGCTGCACACAATCCTGAAGGGATATTACATTTACATCTGTCACTTGTCAAGCAACTTCTCAGTGCATGCAAGCCCTACTGTGCTTTTTCAATGCTGCTTTCTGTGCCTCAGGCTCCCTGAAATTCTGCAGCTCAGATCTTTGGCAGAGCATAGAGAAGCAATAAAGACTTCAAAAAAAGCATATCAAGGAAACAGTGCCATAAGAAAGCCTGGACTTAGTCTCCTCTGTCTTCAGGCTTGGTTATTAATCAATATAGTAGAATACAAATCTCTGAATGATAATCAGAAATCATGGAAGAAATATTAAAATTCCTCCTTTCCCACTTGCACATAATTTTAAAGCAGAAAAGAGATCATGTTTTGAGAAACTCATATGTATGACAACACATTATTATTATTATTATTATTATTATTATTATTATTATTGTGTGACTAAATGAAAATTTGCCTATTGAAGGCAGACTGAGATACCAAGACAATCAGGTTTCTTGTGAAAATCTCCATATTTGTCATACTGAAGAAATAAAAAGAATGCTTGTAAACTCTTCAGACTATCTCTAATGGCACTTTGGATGGCAAAAATGCAACCTCTACAAAATAAGTAACTGATTTTCTCTCTCCACAGAGAGACCTAACCCAGTCAGAAAGCTCTGAGCTCATGCTCATTAATACTGTGCTGCCTCCTTCACTTTTCATTTCCATGCAGCTGCTTTGAATGCCTCCCCTCACTCTTTTCCTTGGGGTGACACACTTTATTGCTTCCTCCTGTTGGTTATTTTATGTATTTAATTCCAATAATATTTATTTTTCCAAGCAGGAATGTTTCCATTTCCTTTGGCTACCAGGAGGCACGAGGGAATAGAAGATCCCAGAGACCTCCCCTGCCACAGTCCCTGCCCTCCCCAGCTGTGCCAGACTGAGCTTTGCCAGCAGACCCCCAGCGCGTTTTTCAGTGTGCAGGAGCATCACATCTAGATAACAAGTGAGCACAGAGAGACAAGGGGGGGAAAGGAAAGCAGAAAACCCCCTCCACCAGAACTGGAAAGGCAGCAAAAAGAATTTCAGATGAGAAGAGAGGCAGTGGATAATGGAGAAATAAAATGCTAAGGTAGCAGTTGCTAAATAGATTTGGCAGAGGCCAATGAGTAGTGAAAGAACAGATCAGTTTGTGATGTTCTAAGCAGTCTGGGAAGGTAACTGCTGAAGACTCTCCACATGCCTCTAGAAGAGCCTCTTCCACTAAACCAGGCCAAAATTTCCTCCAATGTCCCCCTCTAACCCTGTGAATTGTGGTGTTAAAAAAAACGGTGTCTGTGCTACCACACTGAAAGGCAGAGGAAGGGAACTGCTTCCCTTGGCACAGTGGCAGGGAACACAGATCACACTGAAAAGAGCTGCATGTAGGGATGCAACTCCCAGCAGAATCCCTGTGCCATAGGGGTGTCCCCTCTCCTCCACCCCCAACCTCTCTGCCAGCCACTCAGCTGTCTAATTTGGACAACAACCTCAGCTCATTCATGCTCTGAAAAGCTTAAAGAGGGTGAAGGAGACCAATTCTGCTCAGGATATCTCTCACTTTCCAGCTGTTACAAAGCTGTCTGGAGCAGCACCACTGTGGGTCACAGCTGGAGCCTGCTGACTTTACTGCAGACAAGCAACAAGTAGAAAGTTCAGGCTTGACTCCAACAACACCACACACACACATCTTCCAGCACCCATATAATAGATCTTCTGTCTCTATTGCAGCCACCTCACATTATCTTCCCATTCAGACCCAGGGGAGGAGCATTATCCTCATTTTTATGGTTATTCTGCTCTGATATACCTGATACCTGCTGGTACAGGACAGATGTGCCACCACACATGAATATTCTATCAGCAAAGTTTTTTTTCCTGGTGTCATCTGAGGAGTCCCCAGCTGTGCTGGGCTTTGTCACCCCCTAGCTGATGGCTGGGGATGAACTCCTGTTTCCAGCTTTAGAAGAATGACAATGCTGGCATTTGCTCACCTTTGTAAAGTATTTCATGAGGTGAAACAGCAAAAGATGCATCACTAGATCACCCAGGGTTCAGCTTCAGATTGGGTTTTACAAATGCAGATAAGGAATATTCTGCACATGAATCCATTGAATGCTAAATTTCCTTAGATATCCACTAAAAATACATAGCACATGCAGACAGAAACAGGTCTGCCACTTCTGCAGAACCAGTCTGCTTTTCAAACATTTGTCAGCCCTTGCATGGAGAGCTGATAGCCTGGAGAACACTGATAAATCTTGGATTACCAACATCTTTAGGTTGTCCTGGCAAACTGCCAGCCATCAAATGCAGGGTAGTATTTCCATTCCAGGACCACAGCACTGAGACAAGACTCTTAGCTGGGGCAAGCTCTGACTGACCAACAGCTGGGTCAGGCCACACTTCCAGCCCCTTTGGGCCACCAGACGTGGCTCACTCTGAGGTCAGCTGGTCACTCTGGTACTCACCATCACAATATTGGCCAGGTGAGCAGAGACAAGAGCATACACACCTCCAGAGGAGCCCACCACCGGCGCCCTCATGTCAGCCACTGACACTGCCAGGGACCCTGGGGGAAACAACAAAGTTTTGTGACAATTGCCCACCAAATAAACACATTCTCTCCTACTCTACATCCCTGCTAAGGCCTGCTTGTGCTAATTGCTGCAGGTCAGGAATACAGAAAGAGAAGGAGGGGGAAATTGATTGACTTGTGAAGCCAACTCAGTCATGTCAAGGCAGGGACTGATTGATTCCTCTGCCAGGCAAGGCAGAGTCTTTAACCTCGTGCTGCAAAAAGGCATTTATTCCCTGATTGAAAGAACAAGGAAGCAGGAGACAGACAAATGTCTGTGTTTGTTTCTCACCTGAAGATAAAATAGAAGTAGATCCCATGTTGGTAAGAAAAATATTAGCACAGGCAGAAGGAACTAGGGACTTAGCACAGGCCTCTGATCAAAGCACAACCTATTACCCGTAAAACTTCAGAGTAAAACTAGTCAAAAATAACCTGATGGAGGCAGTAGGCACATGACAGAAAAATGACAGGTCAAGTACATAAAGGCACCACTAAAACAATACAGTCAAACATAGACATTGCTTCTTCTTATCCCAGTTGGAGGCTTGGATCTGCTCAAAGCTCCTTTCATTGCTGACTTTAAGAATAATTTAAGCAATAGAGGGAAAGGCAGATTTGCTGTCACAAGGAAGGGATAATGAAGATCTTTGTGATGAGTAGGAATGAGAAAAAGATATATTGGCAAATCTTGAGAGAGTCTTTGGTAGTACAGAATCTAATGAACTTCTTTGCTAATTGCCCAACTGATTCCAGGTCAAGAAAGTGCCGAGTTTCCACCAGCCAGTTCTGATGATAGCTCCCTCCTCCCTTGTATGGCCTGAGACTTCTCAGCTCTTAAACACTGCCATTAAGGAAAAAGTTAATGAGAAATAAAGGAAGGAGTAATAAGAACTTGCAGTTAAGTCCTCAGACACTGCACTGAATGCCTCAATTTCCAGTCTTAATGTGTCTTCTTAGTAAAGCCAGACAAATGAAAAAGAACCATAAAAGTTGTGGCCTAACTACATTTTACTGTCTGTTCCTGATTATTTAGGAGCTGAGTTATCTTTATATTGCCTCAGCATGAATATACCCATTTCCCTCTCTCCTGGCACATGACAAAGAATAAAGGATGTTTCATAACTGGCTAAGATATCAGTGAAGCCCTGTGGTTTGGTAGGTGTATCTGTGTAGAAAAGCTATGTCTGGAAAGTTGCAAATTGGGCACCACTTTTGTTAGTGCTTGTTAAAGTAACAGTCAGGAGACAGTGGAGCTGCTCTGCTAACTCTTTTCTCTGCATTAAATACTGTTGGTGTTTGTACCATGCCTAGTGCTGTGTCCTAGTCCAATTATTCTTTCCACAGTCTCTCTCCTGGAATGCAGGATTTATTAGTACCCAATGCAGCCCATTCTACAAAGGGTTTATCTGCTTATTATGGAAGAAAAATAATTATGTGGCTGGAAAAAGCCAAACAAACACTATAAATCTTGAACTAAGGCAGTCAATCGCTGTCTGAGTTCCACTGTAAAGCTCTTGGTTGTTTTCACACCCTCCTCCTGTTTTAGTTAGATGTTGATCTATTACCAGCTAACTTCCATCACCTCCAAACTGCTGGAAAATCCAAACATAAATAAAAGCAATTCAGCACAAACTAAAAATCAATCAGACTCCATGGCTTAATGATGAAATGAATTTTCCAGATTTCTGTGCACTGCTCACAGCCTATGATCAAATACTTCTTGCTTACTAAGGCTGTAGAAACGTGATAGACAGGACAAATGGAGGAAGAACTGATACAGGACCAGCATGACTCCACATTCAGGAAGATCATCTAAAGCAAGGCTGTTTTAAAATAACAGGTAGTTGGTGCATTTTTAGCAGGTCTCTTAAACACAGACCCTATGGCTACATAGAAATACATGTCAAGTTGTACCATATTTTCTATGTCCAGCCCCTAAAGGATTTCAATGCACAGAAGATCAGTGAATGCTCCTCTCCTAATCCCAAATATCATAAAACATTTCTCCAACTCAAAAGCTAGCACAGATCATTTTCACTGCTTCTCCATCCATGCAGAGGTGTCACCTACCTGCCACAACTCCTGCAACGTACACAAAACTGATCCTCGCAGCTCCATGCACCATTTCCAGAGGAACCCCAACCAAGAGCTGAAGGACAACATTGAGCCCAAGGTGTTCTATCCTGCAGCAAGGAAAAACAACAGTTGTCCTCCAATTCTTCATCTCCTTGCTCTATCACTGAGACACAGATATCTTGGAAAGAAAATCAAATAGCACCCAATTCACATAAATAGACTAAGGCTGGGAAAAACAGTGAGTGATTCCAGAAAAAAGCAGACCTAGAGTTGCAACATTTCTTCCCTCTTTGCTGCTTTTATCTTTTTTGTATCCATCCAGGTCCTTTCAGCCAAAGACCTTGTACAATGTTTGGCTCTTATTTAGACATTTTTTTCTTTTTTCTTTGTTTGAAGAAGTTAAACGACTTGTCAAAAAAAAAAAAAAAAAAAGGCAGCAAGATGGCAGCAGAACCTGGAACAGAAGCCAGAAATGTGACCTGCTCCTCTCTTCTCCCTCCTCATCATTCCACTTTTCCCTGCACACATCACCCTGCCACGATGGGGAGTGGTTGTTAAGAATGAGGTGAAGTACAAGTTCCAAGAGAACTGCCATTTCCTGGTGCCATAATGTGCTTTACAGTATGGGACTGTCTGACCCTCACTCTTTTCTGCTGTGCCTACTTCAATGGTCAGAAGGGGAAGCAGAGGGATTTTCATCTCTGCTCAGGTGCCCAGGTGTACTCACTGATGCTCTCTCTTCACCTGAGCTGAATCAATAGCTTCAACCCAAGTTTTCTGTTGCTTTAATCAATACTACTTAACAAACCTGTCCTGCCACTTTTCAGAGCTCTATAGAGATATTAATCTGTAGGATCTCCCACACATGGGTAATAACAGCACCAGGCCCTGAGCAGGGTCCTCAACACTCTGCTAGTTTCTCAGATTTACCCTGGGCTTGCAGGACTGGGACCTCATTGAATGTGACATCCCACTGGAGCCAAGGGTTTCCTGCTTTTTGTATGAAGAGAACCAGCTTACAAAGAGATGGATCTAAATTACACCCTTAACACAGAAGGCCAGCATTTTTGGGGAAAAGAAAGCAAAGTACCTAATGCCTTGAAAATATACATCCCATTTTATACAAGAAAAGGGTTGCTTACAGGCAGGCACTAGCAAACTTTGGTTTAAGTTATATGCATTTCCACTGTTCTGATCTTTTTCACGTTACCATAGCAATTTCCCATATACAGTAGAGAAAAACACTGATGGTGAGATGCAGTAATGACAGAATAGTCTCATAAATGAGAATTTAAAATTGGACTGTAAAAAAGTGCTAGAAATGATACTACAGAAAACAGTCCTTTTCTGATATCTTAGTAAGTTTGTTTCCGTTGAACTTCTCTCCAAAGATGAATTTCCCTCCTGCACACTCAACACAGCAATGTTTCATCATGGGAAACTGCTGCATGTAACTGAGTTCTTTTATTACCTTCCTCAAGGCTTTTAAAGCCACTGGGCATGGTCAGTGCTCGCTCTGATCCAGCTGCTCACAGAATGCAGGAAATTAAATTAGGAACAAGCAGCAAAGGTCAAACCGAGAGCACTGAGATGAGTCAAAACATCCAAGTGACCTTTCACAGAGGAGAGGGAAGAAGCTTTGGCTGGCACACAGCCAGCATCATGAGGTGGCACCTGACATATCCACACAAAGCACTGAGTCTTATTTTTCAAAGGAAGCTTTTGTAAGAGCTCAGCAAAGTTTATCCTGGACTCTGAAGTGACTGCTCTGATTCACAGTTGTTCTTAAAAGACTTCCCAGGAGCAATCCCATTCACTTCTCTTCCCCATCATGCTAAGAGCTTTGAAGGCACCAGAGTCAATAAGAAGCCATAAAATATAATTACCCTTTGCCAGTACTGAATGTGTCATTCTTGAAATGACAATTTCATTGATTTATTCAGGACTTTCTCCTTCCCTGGGACCAAACAAATGGGACTGAGCATCAGAGCAAGTCATTAGTTATGGCAGTGATACAAATGTGTGAGCTTCAGATATCAACGTCTGCTTTCCATGAAAACAGAAGGGCAGAATTTACAACTTTGCCTTTTCAGCCCTTGACAAAGCTCCCTCCATCAGAACCAACACACAGCCTGTGCATTTTTGGAATCTTTCTAGAGGCACAGCCAGCCAAGCCATAGCAACTGCTGCCTTCTCAAACACCTTCAGGCTGCCACTTGCTCTTCAAAAAAAGACCGAATGCACTAAATTAAGGAGCAGTCCACATTACCATTTAAAAGTCTCAGCTGGAAGCAGGATAACAATAGACCCATGGCATTGTGCTATCCTCTCATTTGAAAATGAGAGGAGAATGATGGGTGTCCACTAAAAACCATTATTACCTTTCCAAGATTTATCTGTTTCCCTCACAAGAAAGGAGCTTAACACAGAGAAGTTAGAAATAAAGGAACATTTAGCTTAACTCCAGATACTGCAGATAAATCACAAGGTTTACTGTTCCAGTGGGACCCTCCATAGTTTTAAAGGCTGTGTAGCTAAAGGAGTTGGAATCCATCACGACGAGTCCCCTGCCCACCACCTTCCATTGTTCCACTCTGAGCCAGCCAGAGGTAAAATAATCCTGAGGGATTTTTTGGCCAGTGAGTGTGAAGAATGCCAGAGAACTGCCTGCTATAAGGGTGACCTGGCACAGGTTAGGGAAGCATGCCACAGAAAGGCATTTAATGCTGGAAAATTGTCCATGTGCAAGTGCTTCTCCTCCAGTGTATCCTAAAGCAATCTGTAGTCATAGAAGCAATATGGTAAAACACCACCACCATCAAAAGAAACCCCAAATACAAAATAACTAATAGTAGTTAAAATCAAGTGTTTCTTTCTTTTACAAGCCTAGTTTTTCCCATATTTTCAGTGAAATTTTCGTATTTTCTATTCTCATTTTATGTAACCAGCCTCATGTCTAAACCCAGTAGTCCCCACTTGCAGGATGAAATCTATGGAATATTTACTCTTTGGGGGGGATTCAGCACACAGAGGACAGATGTTGCCACATTCCAAAGCTTCTTCTAAAAACTTTTCCCTACTCTTCCCTTGGGTGGAGTCTGTTTTTATCCAGGGATCTGAGGCACATCTTGTGCTCCAGGGCAATTACACACCAAGGAAGTTATTCCATGGCAGGGAAGAGACATCAGTATGTCTTCCATCAGAGAAATGGAAAAAGACAAAGATCAACTTGATCTTTCTGGCCTTTCATAGAAGAACATTGACTGATGGAAATACAGGCTTTCTATTTAAGAACAAAGGGTCCTTATGCAGTTGCAAACTCTACACTACTGCTAAAAGGCTTGTTGCTGTCATTTTTCAATGACAGAATTAAAGAAAATTGCAATTATCTGCCAGGAATGTGTGAAGATAATGATCTGAGAAACTGCTCAGAGGGTGTAGAATGTTTTGTACAGGGATGAACTTTCCAGTGACACTTACTCATCACCATGGCATCACAAACATCAATTAAGTCTATTTGAATTTTGTGAGGACTAGAACAGCTGAGAAGAACAGAGTTAGAATCCCCACACCTTGTATATTCTTCCCAAGTCTGCTACATACCTCCCATGGGATGAAGGAGGATTCATTTTACTGTGCACCTTCATTTTGCATGAGATGGACCATTCCCTGTCCATCTGGTCACTCGAGATTGTCAGCTCTTCAGGAGCACTGGTGTTTGCCCAGTGTGTACAAAATAGGACTTCAGGCTTGACACAGCCTCCCAGGCATTATCTCAGTCCCTAGAGAAGGGACCATCATTACTGAGAGATGACACGTCCCAGGCACAGGGAATTTAACTGACTTTTCCAACACCCTGCAGTTTTTAAATACCAGCCCAGCATCTTTGCAGACTTGTTCTACTACCTTCAGTGGGCTTTGACCTGGTTTTAGGAAGAGCACAGCAAGAACAAAGTGTGGTCCCAACACTGCTGGGGAGAAGAGCAGCATCTGTTAAAGTTCATTTTGTTGCCTTCTCTCTTTGGAGAGCTGTGAAGGTTTGCACCTCATTGCCCCACATTCCACAACATCTTCAGATTTTTACACACAATTTGTAACTGAGTTTTAAAAATTTAATTCTGAGCTGATTCTGTCACTTCCTCTTTCTCTCTGGGGAACCTAAACTGTTTGTAAGTACTCACCCTGCATGCATGAATATGTAGGTTAGGTACCTCCAAGCCTGGGCTCGAAGCTGGGGATGGTACAGTAATGCATTCTTCAAGTACAAGGGGTGGCTGACTTGCAGCACAAATCTGTCTAAGACCACTCCATTGTAAAGAAAAAAGGCAACCTAGAAGAGCAGAGAGATTCATTGGTTAGTAAATGCCTTTTCTCACCAAAAAAATAGCTCAAAATAATGGAGAAAAAAGTAATATATACAAAAAGTTTTCTCCCATTTGACAATGACTTGAAATTTGACAGCTTCACATGGCATGAAAATTCCCTGTTTTGAGGAACCTGCAACACATTAACTGTATTTGTGGTCTTCTGTAACACACCAGCCCCTGAGTCAGAGGAACCTGCTCCCAGCCAGCACCCTACAATCATTGTCATATTCTACTCCATACTTGCTTGAGCACATTACTCAGCAAATGTGCAAAGATCTCATTTGGGAAACATATGAGCAGGTCAGAATATTTAACCCAGAGGTTCCTTCCCGTCCTTTTTCTCTCCACTCACAGAACAGAGGTAACTGTATAAAAATTTCTAATACCTTTGACTTATCCATTTCTCTAGAACAGTCCTGTTTTTACTTCTCATACATTTTTGCTCTAGTTTCCCCAAACTATGTAGTCTCATATACAAATTGTTCCAATGACAGGATCAGACTCCACTTAAACACACCCCAACCAAAATGGCCAGCAGCTTCACATCTGTCCCCATCCATGTCTGAACGAGTCCCTCTCTAACCCTTGGCTGTGTCCAGCAGAGCCTTTGGCAGTGTGGCTGGGCTCCCAGGGAGGGCACTTGCCTCTACAAGAGTGATGGTGATCATGAACCAGGGCGGGGGGCAGCACGTGTAGCTGTCATAGTACCACTTGCGGTCGATCTCGCGCGGCAGGGTCTCGTAGGCCACGTGCCGGATCAGCCTCTGCGACAGGCTCAGCCCCGTCTCCTCCAGCAGGGCCTTGCTGCACAGCCTCCTGTTCCCCTGCAGGATGGCCTGGCGGAAACTGTTGGACCTTTTGTTGCTCATCTGGGTAAAAGGGAAAGGAAGAAACTCTGAGTACAAAGCAAGGCCTGGCACAGCCATCAGGGAGAACAGTGCCAGTTTGGTAGCACCAGATCCAGGCAGGCAAGAAAGCCACCACGAGGCTGAGCTTTAGGATCCAAGTCTTGGGACAATGACAGAGTGGTCGACTTGGTGTGCAAGGAAAACCAGTACCACGGTCTGCAATAATGATGCCAATCAACGAGGTCAGAGCAGAACTCTGGCAAGGCTGCTGATGCACCTGGCTGAGCTCTGTGGCTCATTCTCCAGACTTCCATGCACTGTCTTCACCATCAGTTATCACAATCAATATTCCTGTGTCCTCCTCCTTCTCTCTGTTCCCCCTGCTCTATCACACTTCCCTGCAGCCTTGAGGCAGAAAATTTCTCAAATGTAGCAGCAGGCACTTTCACAGCACATCTAACCCTTGTGGCAGGAGTTAGTTCTGGGCAAAGAAAATTATCTCTGTGTAAAACAAAACTGCCTGAACAACAGCAACAAACAACAAATTAATTGGCTGTACAGACTGCCTTAGCTCCTGTAAGCTTGCAAGTCTCTTTACAAGGCTTCTTTCCTAAGTTATCCTCTGAGGGGACAGGTTCTGAGATGGCACAGGCTTACATTATCACCCTACATGCATAGATTTAGCTGTCTATCTTTTTGAGCGTACACTTTCCAGTGTAATGCAGCTTGGATGCATAATTAGAGCAATTGCATTTGCAAATTAGGCAGATGGAATCTTATGCTTAGCCTGCTGGGGGCGGGGGAACAAACCAGGTCTGAAAGAGCTTGCTCCAAGATGTCTATAATTGTTAATTAGCCCTGATGCATTACAGCCCCTCTCTGTACTGGCTGAATCTTTGGCAGGGAGCTCCAAAGGCTCACTGTGTACACAGGCTGCTGCAGAGGAACCTCCTATTGTAGCAGCAAAGCAAACACAACAGCCTGGTCCTTCTTCTGAGAGAACTGCTAACTGCTCTCAAACCATCAGCACCTCCAGCCTCCCAGAACCAAGCAAGAGATGACATTGGCTTCCAGTTATCTCGGCTCATGCTAGTTTCAGCTGATATCCCAAAGCCAGCAGAGCCCAGAGCTTGTGCTGTCAATGCCCAGGCAGTCAGGGAATTGCTCCAAGCTGGACCAAGCTGCTTAAACACAGTAATCACTGCAGAGAGCCACCTCCTGTTAATCACTGGAGGAAGGCAAGGGGCCATCTGAGGTGACAGCACTGTGACCCTCTCTGCCCTTCCCTCCTCAGCCTTCACTTGTAGTCTGTCCCCCCAACACAGAGGAGCATTGACTGTCAATTGGTGTTCTTATATTTTTTTTAACTGGGGAAGATTTGTTGTTGTTGTTCTCTTTGAGCTGTTTCAGTGAGATGTTTTACCCTAACAACTCTCTCCATTTTCGTATTTCTCCTTTGCTCTTTCTTTCTTTCATTCATTCATTCAGAAAACACTTGCAACAGAACATTTCTGGGGAAAAAAAGCAGAAAAACAAAGAATAAAAAAAACTCCACAAAGTGTCTCTCTCAGTATTCTCAAGTCTATCATTCAGAAGCCTGTATCTAAAACTAGGCAAGTTGAGGGGAAAAAATTGTTGTGGTCCTCGATTACATTAAGAAAGCCTGGTCATACTGAAAGACAATAATAGACAAACATCCAACAGGTACAAGGCTTTCCTTAGCATGTGTGAGATGCCTTTTGATAGGTAACAGATGTACCTCTGTTTCAAAGATACTTTTAGCCACCTAATGACCTCACAGTGTCCACAGAAGAAAGCTTCACTCCAGGTTAGTTCAGAACAGCCTTTCAGAGATGTTCTGCATGTACTCCTTCACACAGCTAATTCTTTTCTCTCTGGCATTGCTCCATTTGTGGGCAGGAATAAATTCAGACTGAAACTATAAACTTGCCTGAAGATACCAGACAGTTGACTGGAGCTGCTGATCTGCTTATTCCAATTACAGCGATAAATGGGATTTCCTGCCTACCACATAACAGTCAGTGCTTTTCCCTGCTGCAGCACTTCAGTGGAAAATATAATCATTTCCAGAGTCAAGGAAAATCATCATTTCAGTTCACCATCAAGAAGTGCTGGCCATCTTTAGCAGATGATCACCTCATCAGTGCAGAGACAGCTGAGGGAGATGGGCAGGAAACTCCCAAGGCTGCTGATGTCCATGGCCAGGCTCATAACAAAAATTTCCTTGCATCTGTTGAACAGAGGATCCTAATGGAGACACCCCTGAACCTGTCTGTTACTGTTGAGTATGACACAAGGGACCTGAACTCAGCACAGCCCCATCAGTCCAGTGTCCACTCTGCAATAGTGCTTGTGCTGCCCATGGAGCCCAGAAAACAGCCAGGGTACTGCAAATTCACCACCATGACATTTCTGAAGGTGCTCCTCAACATACTAAAAACAGGACAGAAGGGAAAGGTCTTCTTAGATTTAAGAGCAAAATATTGCAGGATCACTGTAAGTCATACCTCAGATGACCAAAGCCTCCATTGGCTCTCCTGAGGAGGTGGGCAACTGGACTACTGTTCAGCAGAAAGCTCTGCCTTCTTCCTTCCAGAGAGGAAAATAAATCCCTCACACAGATCTTTCACACCCCACACAGAAGCTAACATGGAAGGGACATGAAAATATTTGCCAGATCTTCTTTAGAGCAAAGGATATGGAAAGAAGGTCCAGGTTCCCTCTACATGCTGTAGTCTTGGCATAGTTTTACACCCCATTGAGGCAGGGACACAGTGTCAGGAGTGTGCCAGACGTGCTGAAAAGCCCCCACAATCCCACAAGATGTGGATGAGTGGATGTACTGAGCCCTTGTTAAAATCAGGCCTCTCAGGAAGGAGACATCCTGCTGGTCCCCACCTGCATGCACTGCCCATAGCACCAAGAAGGAGATGATTTCCAAAGAGACAGCACAAATGCCAGGGCTGAAGCAAACACAGCAGTCCTGGTTACTCACATGACCCCACAGGCCTTTGGATCAAGCTAGAAGGAGATGGGCATGAGGAGAGACAGAGGACTGAGTCATTATTGCTGCTCTCACCAATTCTTGATGAGAAGTCTGTTTTATTCCTCAGACTGACTTGGGAAGACTCAAATCTTCCCAGAGTCTCGCATATGATCACAATTTGCTGACTTGATTTTGGAATTACATAATATTGGTATTTATGAGCCAATTATTTAATCATCAGCTGAAAGAACACTAGGCCCATTGTTGGCCTGCACATTATCATGGCTCCAGGAGCCCAGGGCAGCCTACTACACTTCTCTTCAGGCAATTGATCTAGGACTTCTTTAATGAGTGTGATATTAAAGCTGCAAGCAGATGGGTAAAGCAAACAGTATGTGGAGAGAGAAGGTAGCAGTGGGGAGCAACACATTCCCTTAGTCCTTCCTGCCTGCAAAATGGTATTATGCAGAGAGAAAGAAATTTCCCTTGCAGAAGAGCCAAGCTGAGCTGACTGGTACCCAGGTGCTGTCACCTCTGCCCTTTGGTATCACCCTACCAAAACAAACCAAGGCTTAGTGCTAGAGCTCTGCTCTAGGGCTGGGTTTGATACTTCTGTGCAAAAGGAAGATTTTTTCCTACTTATATTTGAACCTGTCTTCAACAACGAAAATGTGAACATTTAGGATGAGTCCTTACTGTCAAGAGTAGCACAGTGACAAACTTTGATGAAGTACAAAGCCCTGCTTTTGTTTAGTACACATGGCACTCTAAAATTACTCTGGGATAATCTGCAACTTGCAAAGGAAGTTGTCCATCCCCATTGGCAGACCAGTTTCTTGGTGCTCCCTGGATATCTGTAGTACTGTGGCTACCTCTAGATAATCAATAGCCAAGTCACAGGACTTCCCCCATCTCCAATTTCAGGCTTGTGTGGGGAACAGTACCCTTTCTATGGTTTTATTCAGCCTCACTCAGAAAGTTTTGAAAAACATGGATTTCTGCCCATTATGTATTGGCATCTTTGAGGCTGGTCTCAAGCTATTTTTAAACACATGCAGCTCTGACAGGCAATGCATTCAGATCTCCAGCTCTGATCCTCCAAGACACAGAACACTAAATCAGAAGTTAGCACAAGCTTTTTAAAAGCCTCTGCCAGCTCCAGTTTTATAACCCACTTTACTTACAAATGCAACCTCTCCAATCAATTTTGCTTTCAAGACTCACATTTATTTCCTTCCCTCTGCCCACACTTCTACAAAATGCTAATGTGGGTAGAGACAGCTTTTCCCAAAATGCATATCTCAGCATTAAGTTCATCTATCACAGATGTTCACATCCTCTGAGCCAACCTGGTTGTACTTTCCCAAACAGTATCAAAGGGAAAAAAAACCTGAATACCAAAGACCAACATTCTGATCTGATTTGACCAAGCAGTGGTTTACTCTAGGGATTCAAAGAAAAACGCAGGAGAGATAAAATAAATTATCCCTGCTCAAGGTTTTGCCTCATTACTATTAAATGTGCCAGGCTTAGGTCTTCCAGCACTTCCAATAGAAAAGGTAAAACACTTTAAAATTTCAAGGTTACTTGAAAGAACATTACTCGCAGGACAAGACTAATGTTGTGGCCCAAATAACATTGTAACACAGTGCTTCAAAAATGTTTGCTGCTCACATTAAAAATGAGGTAGAATTAGCCTGTCCCTAGAAGCCAGCAAGACCAGGGAAAGCAAAGCAGGTGATGATTCTTGATTTGGAAAATCAGATGTGCATTTAATTAGTTAATATATTTTGCTCATTACTGAGATGCTACATCAGCTTCAAGTTACTACAAAGCCACAGCCAAACATTTCTGTTGGAAGCAGCAGTGTTTTGTAGTAGCTTGTAGTAAGCTCTATCACAGTTCACAGGATATTATGTGAAGTAACCCAGGACTGCCAACAGCAATTCCTGTTCAGCAAGAATCCCAGCAAATAACATCTCAAGTATAATTACCTCCTGGCTTGTCTCTTCCCTAAAAGTAGCAAAGTTAGTTAAACACTTTGGTTCACTGTCTCCTCCTGTGACCCATGCTTTTCATAGCCAAAATTTTCTCTGTGCATCTCTTTTCACAATGCTGCAAAGCAACCAGACAGCAAAGATGCACGAGATGTCTCCAGTCGTACAGGAAACACTTTTGTTACTCTGCACTGTCTCAGACACAGCATAAGAAACCCCATCTGAAACTGCTTTCTGCTGTTACTACAAATCAAAGTGCAGAAACAGAAATTGATATGATTGCAGCATTGTGTTTTACAACTACATGAGCTGAATTTCGTACACACAGAGGAGAAGTAATTTCCAATGAGCTGCCTATCTGATCTTTTTGAGCCTCTTCTGTTTTCAGATCACATTAGGAGTTTTCATCTTCCCTGAATTTATTAATTTCTCACTTTATTTCCTGAGTGCTTTCTGGGGTCTAGTCTCATATTTTAAAAGTTTCAATTTCATAAATTTAAGTTGCTTTGCTGAGTTGAGAGCAGGCATGGATGTTGTTATTAAGGTGAGAAGTCCTATAATTACATTTTTGATGTATCTAGAAGTTCACACCATCATTTTTGGCAGCAGGTAAATTCTTGCTAAGCTACTGAAACAGACAAATTAACCTGAGCACAAAGCAGAGAGGGCTAATGATCATCAAGCACAAACATGAACCTGAGCACCACCACAGCAAGGACTGACAGCTAGGAGGTGAAGGAAATCCCTAATTTCACAGTGATTCTGTATCAACTGTGCTGTTTCTTTCTATCAGGAAGTTCAAAAGAAAGTTCAGAAGGCAGTGAAAAGAGGAGTCCTAAAAAAAGTCTGGATGTTGGAAATCAATAGAAATTAGAGGAGAAGTGAGAAGAGAGATGTCATTTGCAAGTAGTTTAATGTTTTGGCATTTGCATTGCCTATTGATTAGAAAGTGCAAAAAATGCAGACAAGGATAGAGGGGCTGATGACAAGAAGATCAATGGCTTTTTTATAGGAGTCATTCAATAGTAGTGAAGGAAATTTGCTGTTTTGCAGAAACCACATCAGCTGGGTGTGAGCTGGCATAGCCTCCTATTCCCAAAGGAGAATGTCCAAGCATTTCAGCTCCCATCTCCCTCTCATTAGCTTGTGCTGCTCCTGAGCCCTGTGGAGTGGGGAGAGAAGAAAAAGCCCAGTTCTATTCCTGAGCCTCTTGCCAATGTGTTACCTGGCCCTAGGCCATCATTTCTGTAAAAGAAATTCGACGATGCCTCTTCCTGCTACCTAAGTGTTGTGCAGCCCAATTAGTGAATGCTTGCATGGTGCTTTGAATATCCCCAACTGTGGAACAAGCAGCTGTTACTATAAATACTCTGCTGAGCACTGAGGACCACACTGTTTGTTATGCTGGAGCTGAGGAAAACCTCACACTGTGTGATCTGTTTAAGAGCATTTATTTACTGAGTACCTAGATAAGACAGCCTGGTTAGATACAGCAGGTTTATGTCATTCCAACAAAGTAACTTCACCTTGACACTGCCCACAGCCTGATGGAGGTCATGACCTGGGTCCTTGACAGCTGGGCCATGTTATCATACTTTTCTGATTAATGTGAAAACAGGACACAAGCATGTGTTTTCTAAACCAAGAACACATGCATGAGTGAACATGACAAATGAAGGGATCAAAACTCCACGTTGTCTGAGATGCAAATTACTGTACTCTGCATCAGGGACACATTCAGTTTTCAGAGAAACCTCAGAGATGTCACCAACTTCCATTCTTCTTTGACTTTGTCACCCAGGCTTATAATAATATTGCACTAAATCTGCTGGGATTCAGGCATTCAATGACAGAGCGAAAACAAGGCAAAAGCCTGAATGGCCAGTGTCCAAGATATCTTGCAAACAACATTTCTAAGCCATCCTGAGCACCTGACAACACATGTCTACAATTGTGTTGACTCAACAAACTGCCTTGACAAGAAACAGAGCATCCCTTCACTAATTGACTCATTAGTAGAGATAGAGAGGCATCCAGATCATGACTCATGCACTCTGAGACACCTCACCTGGGATAAAATGAATGTGACCTAGAAACACTTTATCCCTGCTGCTGTTGATGCCTACAGCAGTGCAATATGACTCCACCTAGCACGTCAACACAACATTATCTATATGTTTTTGTCTGGAAGTGGTGAAATCTCTAGATAAAACAGGAGACATCCAGACTGACAGACCTCTGCTTGCAAACAAATGGCTCATTATAGCAGCTAGCAACTGATACTGAGAGCAAAAACCTCTAAACTAGCAGTAGCCATTGCTTCATGATCTTACTATAGCTCCCACAGTTCCTTCCCATGCAAATTTGTTTCCCTGGAAAAATCAGAAGTAATTTGACTCTTGCTGAAGCATTCAGTCACCACTGAATGCTTCAGCAAGTCCACGCAGAATGTGATGCAGCAAACACTGGTGTTAATAAAGGGAGGGAAAGAGAGAGAGAGAGACACTGTCCCTCGACAGCCCTCAACATGTTTTAAGCAGAGCCAAGGACTGACAGGCCCTGCCAGCCAGAGCACTCACCAGGTTGACGAAGTCCTGGTAGCAGATCCTCCCCTCAGAGTTGCTGTCTGCCAGGGCTAGCAGGACCTCCAGCTTGTGGGGGTCCAGCTCTGAGCCGTGTCTCTGCAGAAGGGAGCGAAACTTCTCAGTGCTGATGTAGCCAGTGTTGTCAGGATCAAACTGGGATAAGAGGGGAGAATGCCACAATTAACAATCTCATGTTACACACAACTCTGTCCTATGCATTCATCACCCACTGCAGACTCATAGGGATACAGAGGCTGCTCTAGGCTTTGGTTACACTGCCCTGCAATCACCCAGGGACTGGAAAGCACCCTGCTGCAGAGAGGGGTGAGTCTAGGCACCATCATCCCCACCATCATCACATTTCCACCCAAGCTTCAGCTACATCAGCTCCCTTCACCTTCTTTCCCTCTGCATCATCATTTCTTGTCATATTTTTATGTCTCTTTCTATCTGGAACATCAAGCAAAACAGAGACGCAGTTTGTGAGATAAAATGCACTGAAAACAGTTTTACTCCTCTATTTGCTAACACAATTGCACCACAGGACTATGCCATCCCTCCTCAAGCCCCTTCCGTGCTCAATGTTTCTTGACAGTCACCTTTCCAGATCATCTCTAGAGATGCCTTCACTATGGTAAGTGCTTTCACTGCTGAAGAGCTATTTTAAGACTGTTGGGAAAGAAAATCTTTGGACAGGAAGCAAAGCAGATGAACACCATGTCAAACTAAAAGTGACAAGGCTGCCACATGCCATTTTGAGAATGTAAACCAGAGTCATTAGAAGGAAAGTCCCAGGTGAGACCTGGAGTGAATCCCACTCTGACCAAAAAATTACTGTTTTCCCTGGGCCTAAGTGGCTAATCTAGAAATGCCACTGATGGAAAGAGACACCTTTACAAGGCTGTCCAAATTTATGACTGTTCCAGTGACCTCTAGGGCACTCTGTGAGGGGCTGCCAGCTCACAAGGCACAGCCTCAGCCCTGACAAAGCCAGTGCTGGCACCACGCCGAGCACGTTTCTGCTGTGCTTGGAAAAGTAGTGGCTGCAAGCTCCCAGAGCAGCCTGCACTAGCCCTGGTGCAGTCTGATCTCTACCAGTTCTCTGTTGCTGGGAGATTTTGTATTTGATTTCCAAACTTGGCTGCGAGGATCCTGGTGCTCACTGGCCTCCTTTTGTAGATAATGATATCAAGCTTGTTTGCTGGATTGAATGGCTGTCAGGGGGCAGGGTGGTCAGGAGGGAGTCTTTTCATGGAAACATTTGGGACATAATAGGGCCTTGGCAGAGCCAAAAAGGTCCTGACAATCCTCACTCTTTCCTAACGGAGAACAAAAGTTGAACAGGCGCTGTGCCTTTGATCAGACACAGTGGAGTAAAGGCTGTCTTGGCAAGGGAGGAGGTGGGAAGGAGGATGTGGCAGAGGATGCAGCCTGCCAGCAGCAGGGCTGGCATGGCTCTGCAGTGAGCAGAACAGCTATAAAACACACCAACCTCAGGCATGGGCTGCTCGTTTAGAGGCTGCAGTGCCCATGTGCGAGGATCTGGCTCCATCTCCTTCTGGCCTCAGCACCTTTGTCCTGCTGCTCTGCTCTCCCCAGCTGCTTAGGAGCTGTCTAACCTGAGCAGGGGAGGTCACAGCTCCTTGCTGGAGGAGGGCTGTCTGCCTTTGGTCAAAGCAGCAGCCCCTCTGTGAAGAAGCTGCTGGGGCAAGTGGATTACACAAATCAAGATAAACCAAGTGACCTGTGGACAGTCAGAGCTGGACACTCTCTCCTGTTCTCTGTCAAAGGTTGTCCTGCCCTTGTGAGGTGGCCTGGATGTACCTCCCTGACAGATGGCACCCAGAGCCAAAGGTGGATTTCATCAGCTGTTTACTGTTAAACAAAGGCTTAGTATTAATCCCTGGAGAAGTTTAGCTCCCCTACTCCAGACCATTCTGATGCTTTGAGTTAACAGTTTAAACTCTAAACCTAACCCCAAAAGTCAGGGCTTCTGCACTCAGGCTCAGCTCTTATGAGTTTTGGCTCTTGCTGTGCCTCTCAGGCCAGCCTGTTTGTGGTGCCCAATCCCAGGAAATAAAGTATTATTAGCACAATACCTGGGATGACCTTTCTCAAGGGGAATTTGTAGGAGCTGGGAGATGAGTCATTCAGTGAAAGAGTCTAAGACCTGCAACCTCATAGATACTGCTCTGTTCATTCTTGTTTCCCAAAAACATTTGACCTAACCAACTTCTTACTTAATTGCACCGCTTTAACTGTATCTTGCTATTTCAAATATCAGAACCTAGCTTGTCTAGGACAAAACCTTTTGCTCCTTGAGAGCTTAAGTACCTCTCTACTTTGAGGGCCAGGGTCAGCACCCAAAGTGTGGGATTCTCCCCATGCTGTGTGCTCATGGACTCTGTAGGAAAGACCAAGGGCTGCAGTCCCAGGGAACATGGCTAGTCCTTCAAAGGGCAGACGAGATACAGAGCTGAAGGACACAGGCCCCCCAGAGAACAAAAGAGCTGCTGAGATCATAAACCACTTTTCCCAGACTTTGTTCTGCTTTAAAGCCTTCCAAAAAGAAGCATTTTGTAACCAAGAACAGAAATTACACAACTGCTTCAGAACTTCAAACCAGCCCACAAGGACACACTAATGACTTCAGACTCACTGCTGCTGGAGCTGATACATCATGTCACTCAGGATGTTGCTGTTACTGGCTGCTGGTTTCCACAGGCACAGCTGAAGCTGGAGCTGTCTGGTGGCTCTAAGTGAATCTGCTTCTTTCTCACACCAATAGGCACCAGCATTCCTCCTTCAGCTCACTGAAGTCTTGCTGCTTGCTCCACAAAAATCAAAGCAGTGGCAGAAGATAGCTGGTGTTTTCTGTACTGTAATTTGGCTATCGATTCTCTCCTCCTCTTCCATGTTATTATATATAATTATTTTTAAGCACCATGTTAATGATAATAATTAGAAATAAGTTTAAAGTAAAACAGTGGATCTGAACAACATGAGAACAAGAGATGAGCAATGAACAACTGACATCTGAACTCAAATACCTCAGAGCAGGGTCAGAGCACAAGTCCCACAACCTGGAGCAGAATGTTTTACTGTCAACCACAGCTGTAAGGAAGTCCTCCTATTTATGTTTATACAATATTTTTAAGTGTAAGATTTGTCTATAAAAATGTATATAAAAATCTCATCTGCCACCACTCAAAATCCACACCAATACTTCAAACTGCCTCAAACCCTGTTTCTGACACCACAGCTATCCACAAAAATCAAGGGGTTGAGGAGGTTCTGCATATTCTGTGTCCCTACACATGGAAATCATAGAATCACAGAATGTGCTGAGTTAGGATGGGCCCATCAGGATCATCGAGTCCTTCATGCTCCATCCAGCTCCTGGCCCTATGCAGGACAGCCCAAGAATCCCATCATGTGCCCAAGAATCCCATCATGTGCCCAAACATTTCTTGAACTCAGACAAGCTTGGTGCTGTGACCACAGCCCTGGGGAGCCTGTTCCAGTGCACAACCACCCTTAGACATCCAACCTAAACCTCGCCCTGACTCAGCCCTAGCCATTTCCTTGAGTCCTGTCATTGGCCATAAGAGTGAGGAGATCAAATCCTGCCCCTTCACTGGCCCTCATGAGGATGTTGAAGATCACAGTGAGGTCTCTCCTCAGTCTGCTCTTGTCCAGGCTGAACAAACCAAGGGACCTCAGCCCTTCCTCACACGGCTTCCTCTCAAGAGCCTGCATCATCCTCGTGGCCTCCTTTGGACACTGTTAATAGCTTCTTTTTCATAATGTGACGCCCAAAACTACACACAGCACTCCAGGTGACGCTGCACCAGTGCAAAAACGTGACAGCAGACTCAAACCACTCAGCTCCATCAATTATAAAAGAGACAACTGACCTTTGCGAGCTGCTTCATGCATTTATCCATGACGATCTCCTTCGGGGCCAATTGTCCCGCAAGCCCAGGCGAGCATCAGGGTCTCACCCGAGGACAGACAGTGCCTGGAGGCAGCAGCAGGGCTGTGCTGAGCCCGGCTCCAGCCCCACGGGGAGCAGAGCTCCCCCAGCACGGGCACCACGGTGCCTTCCCTCAGCGCAGCTCCTTCTGCCTGTCCCCAACTCTCACCAGGGCTGAGGAAGCCGTTCCCCCCTCGTCCCCCACACAATAGGACACTAACGGCAATTTCATGCAAGGTTTCCTCCGCATTTCAATGACAATCACCCTTAACTCCCTTGATCCTCAACCAGGCTCTTAAGCAAAAATGTAAATATGTTAATGACCGTAGCAGCCATCTGACCCAGGATCTTAATTCCCTAGCCCAATACAAGCTGTTTTTCTCCTGTTTTTTCCTTATATTAGAGGAGACACACCACAAACTTAAGGTCCCACAGCAAAACTACAATGCTAAAGTAAGGTGAGGGGGCCTCACAAACTATGATGAAAATAGGAAATTTGGTTGAGGAAAGAAAATGCAATCTCAAATTGTTTCTGTTCTTTAATTAAAGACACATCAGCCACGGTTGAGTGAGCAAGTAGGGTGGAGGCTGGTGCTGCAGACAGACAATGAGTATCTTGGGAAAACTCAGACATTGAGAGTGCAGCCAGCTGCTCCTCTCCCATGGCACACAGCCCTCGGGGGCACCGGAGCAGCTGGAGAGTCAACAGCTGAACTGGGCACAACAGGAGGATCCTTGGCTGGCTTTAGGATTGCAGGAACAGAGTTTGCTACCACCCATAGTTTCCTCATTGAAGGGCTTTGTCTTGACATCACCAAAGCCACACATTATCTTTCCAGAGGGCAAGGCTCCAAGCAACTTCATCTAATTTGGAAATTGGCCTTGAGTTGGACCAGTTCCTTAAAATCTGAGTCATTCTAAGGTTCAGTGGTATCTTCACTTTTGGGAGAGACTGGCCTGGCAGTGTCAGGTCTTCTGGCTCTGATCCCAGCTCTGCTCCAGACTAGGAGATTCTGCAAAGAAATTGCCCTGAGCTTTAGCTTCTCCTCCCCATTACACAGAAATGACAACTCCTGATTCATTTCCCACCAGAAAGGAGCTCTCAATAGTTGGCCTGGTTTTTATTTACATGTAGGCCCTTTTCCACTGGAAAGGGGGAGCCAACTGCATGCAACAT